TAATCACAATTTTAATGGAATATAATTACAATATTTTTAAGGCTTAGCCAACTATTGATAAAGATATTTGATTGTTAAATTCAAGTTATTGAAAGAAAACAATTAAATATTTTTGTTATATCTCTCAAAGATTTTCAGTATAATTACAGTATTTTAACATTTCAACTAAATAAACAAAGTGGCCAGCGTTGCCTGCGTTATTTTGACAATCATTCGATACATGGCAGAAAACATAAATCAAAGGGAAAAAGAACCAACCCTCTTATACAGTCAGTCCTTGTAAAGTTCGTCCTTGTAAAGTCCGTCCTTGTACAGTCCGTCATAGTACAGTCCATCCTAGTGAAGTCCGTCCTTGTACAGTCAGTCCTAGTACAGTCCTTCCCTTCACACTGCCTGTCTGTTGTTGTTTACTGTCTGCTGTTGTTAACTGTCTGTTGTTTTTTACTATCTGCTATTGTTATCTGCTATGTTGTTATTTACTGTCTGCTGTTGTTTACTGTCTGTTGTTGTTAACTGCTATGTTGTTGTTAGCTGTCTGTTGTTGTTTACTGTCTGCTGTTGTTCACTGTCTGTTGTTGTTTACTTTCTGCTGTTGTTTACTGTCTGTTGTTGTTTACTGTCTGTTGTTGTTTACTGTCTGTTGTTGTTAACTGCTATGTTGTCGTTTACTGTCTGTTGTTGTTTACTGTCTGCAGTTGTTTACTGTCTGCAGTTGTTTACTGTCTGCAGTTGTTTACTGTCTGTTGTTGTTAACTGCTATGTTGTTGTTTACTTTCTGTTGTTGTTTACAGTCTGTTGTTGTTTACTGTCTGCTGTTGTTTACTGTCTGTTGTGGCTAGGGTTGTTAATCGTTTTAAAAACGATCGCTAAGTCAATAAAATCAAATGTTTATACATCTAATAACACTAGAAGAACAATTTTAGTTGGGATTCAATAAACGATAAAGAAGTAGTCGAACTAGATATGCCTATAGTTAAACAACTACTCTACTGCCAATGAGGTTAACTAGAGAAGTAGTTGAACTAGATCTGCCTATAGTAAAACAACTTCTCTATTGCCAATGAGGTTAGCTAGAGAAGTGGTTGAACTAGATCTGCCTATAGTTAAACAACTTCTCTATTGCCAATGAGGTTAACTAGAGAAGTGGTTGAACTATATCTGCCTATAGTTAAACAACTTCTCTATTGCCAATGAGGTTAAAAAGAAAAGTAGTACAACTTAATGTACGCATGGTTTAACTGCTTCCTGGTATGAAATACAGTACAAGTAACTTTTGAATAATTAAAAATTTCGTCATCCCAAGTTTATGTTTATTTCTAGTTTTTAAGGGAATCTTCCATTCCAATCAAATATAAGATCTAAATTCTTGAGGGGCACCAAGCACCCTTAATTCAAGGTTCATACAAAAAACACACAACCATACACTAAACACTCACACATTTTTTCTTCCTGTCTTAGCCTACAAAGTAAGATTAGAAGGAAATTGTGAGAAGTATATATTAGTTCAAGATCTAAAAATAGAAATGCATGTTTTGAATAGATTCCTCTTTACTCCTTCTTCCATTCTTCTTTACTCAATTATTCCTCTTTCCTCGTATTTTCCATTTCTGATTTTTTAGTTTCTGATCTTCATGATTCATCCTTGTGGAAATTATACTAGTTGTCCTTTGTTTATATTCCTTCTCTATTCAGACTCATTTCTATTTTTTCTAAACTTATTGTGTTATAAATGTTGTAAACTGGTAGTTTTGAGATTACATATATCTATGTTTTGAGCCCCCCTCCCTCCCCCCTTTTTATCTAAAAAGAACACAGACACTAAAGGGGTCCTAAAAGGGTCCTAAAAGGGTTCAAGAAATACGAAGTCTCATCTGTAGCAGTTCTAAGTATAACCCAGAGCTAAAAGCAGGGGACAAGTGCACCCCCCCCCCTAGAAAAATATCATGATGTATATCAAATTATTGGTTTTAATTGGGTTTGTTTTTCATTTTCCACTCATTTCTGGGATTTACAAACTCAATCTAATAAAGGCTTCATTACATACCTTTCAGCTTTCACCTTGTTTTATATACTTCATTATAGTCATTCATTTTACATTAAATACCTTTCAGCTTTCACCTTGTTTTATATACTTCATTATAGTCATTCATTTTACATTAACGACAAAGATCTGTAAAAAACTGAATTTATTTAAGTAACATAAAAATAGTTTTACTCTAGGAGGAAAAAAATGTTACTTATTTAAATCTTTAAAAAATCTACTCTGAAAAACTTTGAAAAAATATGGTCATTACTCATTGTTAAATTTTCTTGTCGTCAATGTAGTAAGTTAAGATCTTAACGATTTCTAATGTGGAAATGACATTATTTATAAGTAAAAATGTTTTTTATTTGTCCATACCATTTTTTTCTATTAAAAAAAAACATCTAATTTTAATGACATTGAAATCCTTCATAAAGTTATACTTTAAATCATTACATTAGAATGCTGAGCCACGTCATGTTGATTATAATGGTTTAAACTATTTTATAACAAGAATATCTTTAATGAGGGTACAGTGTAACAGTGGACATAAAAAGACACAGCGCACTATCACCTAAAAGTTGCAGTTGAGGAGTAAAATAAGAAAACATCATTTCCGGACGAAATATAGGTGTGGTACACACATTTTCCTTTCTTTGCTAAATTGGGCTTAAATATCTTTTTTAAACAAAATGCATTTAAAATACAATTAAACCATATTGAATAACATAGCGTTGCCTGAAGTTGAATAAAAATTGTTAAAAGGCATAAAATAATACATTTGAAAACACAGAAGCATCGCAAGGCAAAAAGATGTGTTTGTATACATGAAACTAGTTTGTAGAACTTGTTACATGTTTGTATACATGAAACTAGTTTGTAGAACTTGTTACATGTTTGTATACATGCAACTAGTTTGTAGAACTTGTTACATGTTTGTATACATGCAACTAGTTTGTAGAAGTTGTTACATGTTTGTATACATGCATCTAGTTTGTAGAAGTTGTTACATGTTTGTATTCATGCAACTAGTTTGTAGAAGTTGTAACATGTTTGTATTCATGCAACTAGTTGAGAAGAAGTTGTTACATGTTTGTATTCATGCAACTAGTTTGTAGAAGTTGTTACATGTTTGTATTCATGCAACTAGTTTGTAGAACTTGTTACATGTTTGTATACATGCATCTAGTTTGAAGAACTTGTTACATGTTTGTATACATGCAACTAGTTTGTAGAACTTGTTGCATGTTTGTATACATGCAACTATTTGAGTAGAACTAGTTACATATATGTATACATGCATCTAGTTTGTAGAACTTGTTACATGTTTGTATACAAGCAACTAGTTTGAAGAACTTGTTACATGTTTGTATACATGCAACTAGTTTGTAGAACTTGTTACATGTTTGTATACATGCAACTAGTTTGTAGAACTTGTTACATGTTTTGTTAGTATTGAATGAGGGGAGAAAGGCCAGCCACATCAATTTCTTGTCCGAACCACGTTCTCCTCATTTTCTAGTCCCAGAAATCCTCGTCCTTTGATTATTATGTGTTTGAAAGTTTCTAATTTTTGAAGATAAACTATGTTTAATAAATCTGGCCGCATTATGGCATTAAATATGGATAGACAATGATTACATCATGTTGGAATCTTTAAAGACTTGAGAATGATATCAAACTTTATTTGGGTAAAACTTAATCTCTTCTGCCTCCGGACTGGCTAATCTTCTTCATGTAAAAAAAAGCAAAATATTTGGCAAACCAAACCTCATGCCTCTTATTTTCTCCATGGAACAACCCCAAAAAAATCAATGGTTTTCGCTATAATAAACAAAATAGATTAAAATTCTATAAACTTTAAATTATTTGTGGCATTCTACACCAGGAATATCTGAAAATGCGCATGAAAAGGTGAACTTATTTGAGGACATTGATTCAATTGAAACTATTTTTTTCGATTTACAAAAATTCAATATTTGATTTATGCCCTAACGTGGGCCAATTCTTAAAAAAAGTTTTATATTGGAGGATTAGACACTTAAGAAAAATAATATTGTATGGACAAGGATTTTGAGGTGGCTCGGACGAAAAAACGAAGAGAATGTGGCTCGGACTAGAAATTGTTGTGGCTGCCCTTCCTCCCTTCATTGAATCAATAGTATGTAGTAACCAGTTCAGTCCAGATAAAATCAATATTCAGTGGTTTGTTCTGCTATGTCAGCAATCCCTTTCAAAGCTTTGTAAAACTAAGTATTTGTGTAATTGAGCAAATAGGCACACAAGTGTTATATTGGTATAAATACTGCTGGGATTTCTGTAATAAGTTACTCAAGCCTACTTCTCCCAAGGTGCAGTAATATCATTATTTTAGACATTCAAAATCAGGCCTTTTTGTTGTATTCATTTATAACTTTTAACCTCCATTATGCTTTTATGATGTTTCCATTGTTATAACTAAATCTAACAAACTAAATCTTCGTTTTGACCCACTTTCACTTGTAAGATTTTGATAAAATTTAGCTTTTTGGACCAATTTTTTTAAAATTTAACTATATAACTGGATTTTGCCATAAAAAATTCAATTTTTGCAAATTTGCAAATTTTTTTTTGCAGATTCTAAAAGTAGAGCACAAGAGCTTTACAATGATGTATCATTTTTCATATTTGGCCATCAAACCTGGTTTTCAAGTACCCCAGCAGGGATAGGGTTAAAGACACTATACAAGCATCGAGGCTTAGATGTTGAATTTAAAGGACTAGAGTTTTTACCACAAACTCCAAATTTCTAATTACTTTATCTATGCAACCGGATGCTGTAAACCTTTGATATTTCAAACTTAGAATGTTTGATCTGTCAGAATTCTTAGTTTGAAATGTCAAAGGTCAAAAAAAAAGGGTTGCACAGATATAGGGATTAAAAAATCTGATTCTGTAGCAGAAACTCAACTCCTTTGATGGCAAAAATAAACATTTTTAGATGAGATCTGTCTTGTGTTTGACTTTTCTGTTGGCTGGAGTATCCCAGGCCAAAAATATTCAACCTAAGCTTGATATTGTCTTGATCAGCAATGAAACCGAATCAAGGAATATCTTGCCAAAACTTGAAGTTCAACTTCTTGTAAATGATACTGAAGAAATTGATCCAAGCCTATTGACTCCAAAGCTTGAAGTCCAGCTTCTTATGAATGAAACTGAGGTTGTTGATCCCAGTCTGCTGACTCCTAAGATGGCTTTGGACAGAGCTACAACAGATTGTGGATGTGGATATGCTGTGAGCAATCCTAGTCCAGCAGCTGGAAGAATTGTTGGTGGATCTGTAGTTACCCCACAGAACAAGCTTCCATATCAAGTATTTGTTCAGCCCTGTTTTGCTGATGGCTGTGGTATGTGCGGAGGTACATTGATCAATAAAAGGTATGTCTTGACTGCAATGCACTGTATTAAGGATGGAGCTAACATTGCTTCAAATGTTTTGGTCAAAATTGGAGATTACAGTCTTAATTCTGCTATCGAGACAATACCACAACAGAATATTCCTGTTGCCAATATTATTATGAGAGATGACTATGATGAACAGACTACAAATAATGATATTGCTATGCTCCGCTTATCTTCTGATGTTGTATTTAATGCCAATGTTGTACCTGCCTGCCTACCTACTGATCCAAATAATCTTTATGTAGGCCTGCAAGCAGTTGTTTCAGGGTGGGGCGCTACTTCATCGGGAGGGTCTACAAGTGATTTGCTGAAGGAAACTACAGTTAAAATTGTAGCTAACTCTGATTCAACCTGCCTAGGACCTTATGGAAATATTGGAAAAACAAGGATGTGTGCTTATGCAGCAGGAACTGATAGCTGTCAGGGAGATAGTGGTGGACCTCTGGTTGTCAAGGAGGATGGAAGATACACAGTAGTAGGTGTTGTATCCTATGGTATAGGTTGTGCTTCTACTAACACTGCTGGAGTATATGCTAGAGTTACAAACTNAAAATGCCCCCAATTTTTTTTTAAATTATCATATAAAAAAAATTTGCCCCCAATTAAAGAATTTGCCCCCATTTCTTTCAAATTTGTCAATCCCAAATGGGATTGAAAAAGGAATTATATTGACCCCTGAACTTAATCCCTTTGGAATTTATTCAAAATAAGGTGTGTTAGATAACAAATTAGCGTGCCCCCAAATGCAAAGGGGTGGTTCCCCCTAAAAAGTAGTTGATACATTTTCGAGGAACATAGCTCTTTTTTTTAATTTAAATCCTTTATTTCCCTTTCATATAAAATAGCTGGTCACCATTCTATCCCTTGAGATATTATAGGAGCTTTGAAAATAAAATAAAAGTACAGCCAACAATGAATATGTTTAATAGGACTGTAATCGTCATTTCAAATGATCCTCCATTGATAGAGTATAATTTCTGATTCACAACGGTTCCCTTAAAAGTAATTTGTCCGATCTAATGTATGGATTATATATATCTTATTAAACCTTATGTCTAATTAAATGATATATGGTGGGGTTTGAAATGTTTATGGAAAACTTATTATGGAATATATGGGAGCATTATTAAACTGTGGAGTTGAAATCTGTTGGGAGCTGCTAAACAGCTGATATAGATGAATCCTAGAACCCTGAGCTACTCTGGTGCAGAACTCTTGAAGGATGCTGCTGTAGCTAGAAGCTAGAAGCTGGTATAGATGAATCTTAGATTCTGAAGCTTTCTGGTTCAGGACTGTTGAAGGCTGCTGCTGTAGGGGTACAGCTAGAAGCTCCTTAAAATAGAATTCGGGATTTGAATAGCTATTAAATATCAATAAAATGCCCTTTTTGTGGTACAGAGTTGATTTGTGAACTCTGGAGCTGGGCAAGGGTCGGCTTTGACTGCTGATATCATCTTTTCAAGATTCCAAAGTTATCACGTAGTCTTAACCTTGAGTCTATATGTAAAAATGCGCACACAGTACACAGGATGTTCACTAAAATACAAACACATAAATGCATTTTATCATAAAAGCAAAATATCAATTTTAAAGGTTTTTTTTCATTCGTTTGTGATTTAAAAAAGGAGTTTTAGTTTATGTAAACACCCGGCAGAGTTGCTAAGTATGGATGATTGATTCCAACCATCATCGACATTTGTTAATATTAATATTTTATAATTCTTTGTTGAAAAAGCGTACTCTTACAATCATAGCTTTTGTTGTTCAAAAGCAATGGACAATTTTTCATCATCAAACACATTATTGTTTAGATTAAAGTTTATAGGGTACAGCTGTTAATTGGACATGCTACTTTTTTAAAAATAAAGGGTCATGTCAACTCCTAGCCTTTCATTAAACTCTGAATTTGGAAATAAAATAATGTTTAGTATGGTTATATGGTTATCAACAAACAAAAATAAATTTGAAAACATCTCCTGGCATAGATGGATTAACTATTGATAACAGGAAAGAGGAATTTAACTATTCCAAGATATATCATATATTATATATATATCATATATATAATACTTCATACTATGTGCATTATTAGCTTTAAGCTGAATTAAATATAACTATGTCTTAACATTTATCAATATACAATAGCCAATAATAAGGCTAAGACTAAGCAAGCAAGGTACATTTATCAATATACAATAGCCAATAATAAGGCTGAGACTAAGCGAGCAGGGTACATTTATCAATATACAATAGCCAATAATAAAGCTAAGACTAAGCGAGCAAGGTACATTTATCAAAATACAATAGCCAATAACAAGGCTAAGACTAAGTGAGCAAGGTACATTTAGCAAGATATTACAACAGAATTGAGGAATTCAAGTGACTTTATAAAAACACTCCAATATTTAAGACAGATTAAAAACTAAAAGCTAGATTATTTAATGTAAATACTAATATTTTCGTATTAAGTAAGTGAAAACCAATAAAAAGTAGTATTAATTTGGTTAAAATTGTTTATGAAGAAAAAGATTGATGCCCAGTAAAATCAATATTATAGTGACATCTATTGGAATCTTTCTAAACTATATTTGTCCCATTTCTGTATTGTCTGAGAACTCTTTTCTCTGGATATCGAATTTTATAATTGACAGGGTTTGCCAAAAAACAGGTGCAATACAAGACTTTTAGCATGAGTATAGCTTATAGCTATTTAGAGGTGGTTTTCATAAAAGGGGTTTCTTGGTCCCAGTCTAGTGTTTTTCGTTTTCTGAAAATGTGGTATGATGACAGCACTGCAAGGCTTGATAGATTTTCGCACATTGCTTTGAAACTAACACTGGGTTTGCAGAACTTATGCAGTTTCTTTAGAATCGCCTTATTTGATGGTGATATAAACTTCTTGAGCCGATTTCAAAAGGATGAACAGACACATCCCAGGTTGTTACATCTGTGATAAAATGTTCATACTTGTTCAACTTTTGAGCGTTGGCTTTTTTGATATTTGTTCCCAATGGGACACTAAGCTTAAAAATATCCATCTTTTCCTCCATTCTATCGATAATTACTAGATCTGGTTTCTCTGCGGTCACAAGGAGGTGGGGGGGGGGAACAGTACCTCCCCCTGGAAGGGTATGGGACGTGATGTCGGCATACATCAGAAATCGAACAATATCAACAAATCCAGTTATATATTTAATAAGATTGTTGTGTCTCCAAGTATATCTTTTTTTGGTGTAGTGCAACCTTGCAGGCTTGCAGCCAAAGGAATTGAGTTTCGGAACAATTAAATATTTAAACCCGAATATCTTTAGAACCCGATGTTGTAAACCTTTGATATTTCAAACTCAGATTATTTGATCTAACAAAATTCATAGTTTGAAATATCTAAGGTCTAAAACATTTTGTTCCAAAGATATAGTGATTAATAATCAGAGTTTGTGGCAAAGACTCAATTCCTTTAAGGTAAGTAGCTAGATAAGTAGGGATGGGCATTGTTTTTAAAAAATGATTGAAAAAACGATAGTTTTGGTTTTTCAAGAAACGAACATCTAAAAATTGTTAGTTTTAGGCTGAAGAAATCAAAAGAAAAATGGTTAGAAAATTATAAAGCTAGGTTTATAAATGGATAATATAAAATTATAAAGCTAGGTTTATAAATGGATAATATAAAATTGGATATATAAATTATAAAGCTAGGTTTATAAATGGATAATATAAAATTATAAAGCTAGGTTTATAAATGGATAATATAAAATTGTCTACTGAAGAAATGGACTTCTGAATCTGGCCTAAACACTATTACAGCAAGTTTTAATATTTTGAGAATTATACTTATATAAAACGAAAAAAGAGCGTGATAAAAATATAATATATAAAATCTTTACATAAATCTTGCAAATACTACTTTAACCAAAATATTTTAAAATTCCTAAATATTTTAATTCTATTCCGCTATGCTCCGCTTATCTTCTGATGTTGTATTTAATGCCAATGTTGTACCTGCCTGCCTACCTACTGATCCAAATAATCTGTATGTAGGCCTGCAAGCAGTTGTTTCAGGGTGGGGCGCTANCTGCAAAACTTTGAAAAAATATTGTCTTTGTTTATATTATAATTTCTAATTTCTAAAATTTTTTAAAATGAAGATCAATTTACTAAACGACGATGTTTTGTTTCCCCAAGATTCTAGGGAGGGGGGGTTATTACCCAACGGATTATAGGGGAGGGGGTAAGTAACCCCAATAACCCCCTCTTATTTACGCCACTGAAAGAACTAATTATTTGAATATATATATTTTGTAAAGTAACATTATTTATTTTATCATTAATATAAAAGAAACAGAAGAATTTATGAGTTTAGAAAAGATAAATTAAGAAAAGGAGATGTAAACTAAACAAAGCTATGTGTTGAGACATCTATTTATATATTTCTGAACTAAACAAAGCTATGTGTTGAGACATCTATTTGTATATTTCTGAACTAAACAGTTCTTAATTCTGTTCCATTCCCCGCCCCCCTAATCTACTGTCTTCTAGTTTATATTCTGGGGAGGTGGGGGGGGGGGAATTAGCTTTTTGTTTTGCCCCCTTGACAACATTGTGCCCCCCATAAAAACCACTTAAAAAAATATTTATGCCTTTTTCACTTTGTAAATAATTCGATCAGACACACACTTCCAAATTACAAGTGTTAATAAATTATTTATATAATTTTCTTTATTGGATTCCTCTTAATACTGTGGTGTAAGCTTCAAAGGATGAAAAATATAGATTTAGAAAAATTTAGAAAAAACATCTATATTTTCATGGGATCGATACATACTGTTTTATAAATTATGATATCAAATATATATTTACACTGAAGGCAGTATTGATTAAAGTTTTTTTTAATGAAACTTTTTAGTTAAGGGCAAAAGTGATATTTTAAAGTATCTTTTTATACGATGTAATTATACTTAAATAAAATAATTGCGTAATTTCAAGTGACCCTCCATTTATAGAGTGGCATGTCCGATGTACCTTAGAAACCTACATTTCTCCATCGTTTCTGAAGCAAGAAATGCAAAAGTCACTTTTGTAGAGAAACCACAAATAAAAATAATCAGTTTTCAAAATGGGAAACATGGATATTTAATACAATATTTGATCAGACAATTAGCTTGGTAGGGTATTGTTGTGAATCAGAATATATTCTATTTATTTTCTTAATCTTTTAGTTTGGGTGAGGTCAATGCAATGTAAAATGTAGATTGCCTGTGGAATATTAAAAGAGCCCGCCCCCTAGGGGGGGGGGGAACACATGTTCTGGAATTTCTAGATTCTGGAACATGAGAAGGGGAGTAGGGGAAAAGGGGAGAAGGGGAGAAGGGGAGAAGGGGAGAAGGGGAGAAGGGGAGAAGGGGAGAAGGGGAGAAGGGGAGAAGGGGAGAAGGGGAGAAGGGAAGAAGGGGAGAAGGGGACAAACAATAAAAATGTCAATCTGATAATATTTCAGATATTTTATAATTTTATACCGTGTCTCCTTTATCTTTCAATGCAATCATTTCATTTACTCGAGGCATAAAGAGCTATTTAAACATTTAGTTTATGTCGGTTTTAAACATTGATTGGAAGGTTGTGTGTTTAGATCCATTAAAATTTTAAACGGCTGAACCGATTAGAACCAAGTTAAGTTAACTGACATGACTCTGTGCAGCGATGGTTTAATGTCGGTTAAAATTAAAAGGGTTTCTCTCAAACTAATTTAGATTGTTAAAATTAATAAAATTTCTCTTATGAAAGCATGCAAATCTGTAAATTTTTATTATTATTATTATTGTATCAAAATGAAGATAGCTAAGTTAAGTATTATCAGAATTGTTTCCCATGTTAATAAAGTGTGATCCAATTTTCTCATTCCAAACTCTAATTATTAAGAATAAAACATAAAGCAAATAATCTGTATCTACTATTTCCCAACGGATATGGCTTTTGAATTTGCATAGGATGTTAAAATGTTAAATTTTAAAGAAATTATCAATTTTTTGCCGAATTAGTCCAATTATCTAAAAAAATATCTAAATGGATATTTAATTTCCGAATTGCATTTCCTGAAAATGTCATATTTGGTTTTTGGTAATATTTAAAAATATAATTTTCACAAAATTAAAGCACATCTCCTTTTCCGGATTCAGGACCTCCCCTGACATTTTTTTAGAGGTCAACTCAAAAAGTATTGATCTGAGGCATTCGATTTTTTTTGACTTTTCTAACTAACTCATGCCCCTCACATTAGGCTTCAAGCGGGGCTTTTATGCCAACTGCCTGTGTCCTCAGGCATACTGCCTGAATGCCTTATTTTACCTTTACTCTACTAAATCTATATTTAACCCATTTCCGGTCATTGGATTTAAACTTTTTATAGCTCTTTAGAAAGCCTTGAACAAATAGAAAGCGAAGAAATTTGCATAAATTTTTGCACAGATGCCTTTAAAAAGAATTTGCACATTTTCAGTTTTCCTTGAATACAAATTCAGTTTTAGAAAATTTTGCAATATTTTTGCATATTTGAATTCGCCGTGGCAAAGGGACTTTATTTGCACTTTTTTGCTTAATAACTTGATTTTGCAATAAAATTTCAATATTTTGCAAATTTTCAAATTTTTTGGCAGATTATTTAAGTAGAGCCATTATCCAAAAATGTATCAAATGTTATAGATTTGTATTACATTAAGGAAATAGAAGGGGGGGTCCCTAGGAACCCCCCCCCCCCCTAGACTATTTGGGTAAGCCAGACATCAGCCTGAATAGGGTTAAAGATGAACACCATTTTCTTCATTTTCATGAAGAACTGGCGAGGGAGTTCAGAACTTGACGATTTCGTCGCGTAACAAAAATTTTTTCAATTTTTGCGCAAGGGGGGGGGGTTACTAGGTTTGAAGCAGCCCGACATGGATAGACTTAGACATTTTTGAATCCCTATATGAAACATACTATTACAATTTGCTTGTAATTTGACAAATGTTTTCAATTGAAATGGATGATCGCTCTTTATCTTGCCGTTCTTTCCAATCTGGTAAAAGCCAGTTTTATAAAATATAAAATGTATTTTATAAACGATATTTACATCCATGTTTGTAAAAGCATGATAACACTGTGATATAACCAAAGTTGATGAACCAATTTTAATTCAGATTTTCAGTATATTTTAATTCAAATTTTATCATTGGGTTTTTTTGTTTTTTACTAAAATTTGAATAATTTTCTTATTTTTTCTCTCTAACATGAAAGTTTCATTTTCTCCATTTTTAAAAGAACATTATTTCCGAAGTGCTCAAAACGGTGCGATTTACAAAATCTTTAAATATTAACAAAAAATAAAATCGAAAAAAGTTAATTCAATTTTCAAAACCAAGTTTACTGCGAGACAAGGTTTATCGCCACAATTGAATGTTGGCAATTAAAGATGTGAAAATACATTTTCAGAAAACATTCAAGTTGGAACTGCACGCATTATTTCAAGAGACCATCAGTTTTAAGGGTGTAATTTGTAATTGTTAAACGCTTTGTTTGTAAGACATTTTATATTTAAGAACTATTAATATTTGTTTTCTAGAAGTCAGTAACCACTGTGATTTAAAGGTTGCGAACTCTTAAATTCTATGAGAATTTTGCCAATATTTTGCTTTTATGTGCTAAAATGTACATGTAAAGGGCTACAGAAAAGCAGTTAGAGCGGTAAAATGCCCAAGGTGTTGCCAAACAATCTAAAGTCAACCATGTCTCAAAAATAACTAAAGTTAAAAAATAGACTTTATTAACAAAAATGCATGAATATAATGAGATAATAATAAGCAAAATATTTATAGAAATAAAAAATATAACTTAACGGATATTGATATCTGAACTTAATAAAGATGGCTGCTATCTTAATACAATTAAATTTTTCTTTTGATAATGAATATTGTTGTCTCTTTCCCTGAATCTTTTTCTTCAATATCTCTTGTAAGAATCTCCAATTTTACTTCTTGCTAAGACTCCAAATTCTAAATTTGAGTCTTCAAATCATTGACTTCTATTTTGTTCGTATTGTGTTGGCTCGGATATAATGCGAAAATTTTGCGAAAAAATAAAGTGAAAATTTCGCGAAATTTGTTTGCGAAAATTCACCAAAAAAGACAAAAAACAGCTTCAATATTTTTTTTAATTCTTAAAAATTGAAACATATGATTTAAGTCTGTTTTTTTTGCAAAACATTTACAGTTTTTTAATCATTTTGATTTATTTTTACGCCGCGTAGACTTGAACCGCACTAAAAAGACAGGAGACTTTTTGATTTAAACCTGTACATTAGATATTCAGATTAAGCGATCAGGATTAAGAATATCTCATTCTAAAGTTTTCAGCTCCGGTCTCATTGTTTGAAAACCAATTTTCAAAACTGTGTAAATTGTTGTTGGCTATACTTATCCATCTTTTATCAGCATTCCTTCAGAAACTGCGTAAATTCTGCCAACTTAACCAGTGATGTCATTCTCCCCCCTCCACCCCCCCCCCCCCCACCCCTTACTCAAATAGTCATAAAGTTGTATGCTGGTTTATGACGTAAAACCTTAAAAGAAACTCCACGGTGTTTTTGCTTTAAAATCTATTATCTCAAACACTTGAATTGAATCTACAGGAAAAAATTACGGAGAAATAAAAAAGCGGACTGTTCGTGCAATTTCTAGTGACCCTCCATTAATAAGATGGTATGTTAGATTCACATTGGTACCCTTGAAACCTTTTTTTTTAATTTTATTTTTATTCTTCTAAATTATTTATTTGATTTTTTCAATTGCAACATAAAAAGGAATTTGTGTTTTTAGGAGTTTATATTTCAGGAGTTTATAATTCAGGAGTTTTATTTCAGAATTTTAACTTTAGGAATTTGTATTTCAGGAGTTTAAAGTTCAGGAGTTTATATTTCAGAAATTTTTATTTCCGGAGTTTGTATTTCAGGAGATTGTATTTCAGAATTTTGGATTTTAGAAGTTTGTTCTTCAGGAGTTTGTATTTCGTGATTTGTATTTCATGAGTTTATATTTCAGGAGTTTTTTTTCAAGAATTTTGTATTTTAAGAGTTTACATTTCAGGAGTTCGCATTTCAGGAGTTTGAAATTCAGGAGTTTGTATTTCAGGGGTTTGTATTTCAAGAGTTAGTTTTACAAGAATTTGTATTTCAGGAGTTTGTATTTCAGGGGTTTATATTTCAGGAGTTTGTATTTCAGGGGTTTGTATTTCAGGAGTTTGTAATTCAGGAGTTTGAAGTTCAGGAGTTTATATTTCAGGAGTTTGTATTTCAGGAATTTTGTATTTTAAGAGTTTACATTTCAGGAGTTTGTATTTCAGGGGTATTTTAGGAGTTTGCATTTCAGGAGTTTTATTTCAGGAGTTTTATTTTAAAAGTTTGAATTTCAGGAGTTAGTAATTCAAGAGTTTGAATTTCACAACTTTTTTGTTGGATTTCAGAATATTTTTTAACCCCAAATTTTCTCGTTACATTTGAATATGTTTAATTTCCTGCACTGTGGGATTTAATTGTACAGATGGGATATAAAACAGTGGTATAAAGGGGGGACAGTAAAACAATGGTATAAAGGGGAGACTATAAAATAGTGATGGTATAAAGTGTTGTAAACTACTATTATATATTAAACACACAGACTGACATCACAGTAATGGGGATTTAGAGGAGAATTTCATAAAATATATTCCAAAATATACTTTTTATGAGCTGTCCTTAATATTTACAACTAGGTCCCACAATAATGTTTATTCCATAGAAAATTATTGTTAACAGTTTTATCTATGAAAAAATGTTTAACATTGAAAGTAGAAAAATTAGCCCTTCTGAGCCCGCGATTTAAAAACTTCGGCTCGAGCTGAAATTCCTTAAACCCGACTTTTAGACTAAATTAGTGATTTAATAAGTGTTTAGTAAAACTATTTACTTTGTAAAACCAGAAAATACAATAACATAAACAATTACTAGAATAAGGGGGGTGCCAAGCGGCCTAATTTCCTAATTTAATTATAAACCATGTAAACTTGTCCTTTATTATTAAATTGTGACGATTCATCAATATTCGGTGTAACCATTTTGGCAAATAGATTTATTGAATATTGGATTTTGGACCATAATATTATATTATCCAGTCAAATAAAGCAAAGTTTAAACTAAACCTACATATTAAATTAAATTGTATTTATCCTTTTTCAATCAATTATGAATACTTCCAATGCGAATATTTGATAACAAATGCTTTTGTATTTGTATTTTTTTTCAACCCTTTAATAATAAATTTTTAAAATATTTTGTTGTTGTAGTTTTTTTGGCTAGAGTGCACCAATACTCAAACATTTATAATTTGTAATATTTTATGTTATTTTCTATAACACTTTATAATATCGATTCATTGACATAAGGTCAATCTACCTAGGTTCAAATGCCATAGGGTCAAACGACATAGGGTAAAATGACCTAGGGCCTCAGCGCTCGGCCCGCAGCCTGTCCTAGCCGCAGCGCTCGGTGCAAAAATTGTCTTAACCTGACTTGACAACGAAATAATACATAATTTTATGTCATTATTTATGTTAATTTGAATTAATAGCTGCAACGTTTAGCCCCCTAGCCTGTCCTAGTCGCAGCACTCGGCCCAGAAATTGTCTTAACCTAACCTAACCCTGTAATGATACATAAAATATTTTTATTTTATTTTGACCCTTTGTCATTTTACCCTTTGTCGCGTTTTTGACCGTTTGTCTTTTGACCATAGGTCATTTGAATTTAGGTCGTTTGACCCTATGTCATTTGACCCTGGGTCATTTTAACCTAAGTCATTTGACCCTATGTAGGCCTATGTAGGTGTGAACCATAATATCTTCTGATTTAATTTTTGCAAAAAATATTTGGATTTCAAAAATTTGGAAGCAGATTCATTAAAATGAGGGCCTAATTATTTTCCAAAAATATATAACATCTACATCCCCCTTTTTTAGGAAATTATCATTCCCCTTTAGTTATTTTTATTTAAAAGTATCTGCACTATTTAAATAACCATAATCCTACATCTATATATAAATTTGGCTTGTCTGTCTGCCTGTTTGTTTGTTTGTATCCAATAAACGTCAAAACGGCCTAACCAATCGGGCCCAAATTTTTGGTGGGACATCACATGACCACAGGGAAGGTTTATGAATGATAAAAATTTAAAAAAAAATACGAAAGGGAGGGGGGATTTTATGACTTGAGGAAGCCAAGGGTACTAAAGCTGAGAAATCTGATACTCTGATCAGTAAACATTTAACCCAGAAGAACTTAACATCTACACTAAAACCCATACACCATCCACCACACAAACTTTAGACTTGGGAATCCTTAAAATTGAATTATCTTGCCACAATGATGTATTCTTGGGTTTTATATATCTTTATCATTTCTGGTAGGCTTATATCAGGACTAGATGAGATTGTTCAAACTTCTGCTGTGATAGAAACCAATGCCAAAGACGTAACTTGTAATGACTGTAATAACAATGAAGACATTGTAGAACCTAATGAGACAGTTGAAGACAACCTGGAGTCAAACCATGAGCAACAAGATCAATTTGATGATTTTGCCCTCATCAAAGAGTCTGATGCTGGTCCTACTCACAGGCCAAGAGGTGGAAGATCAATGAGTTTAGTGTCTGTTGTGTTTCCTGAAATACTGGTTGTGGTTGATCATGCTCTTTTCCTAAAGCTTGACAGCTCTGAGTCCAAAACTAAAGATTATGTAACATTATTCATGTCAGCGGTAAACCAACGATATAAAGGCATGACTTCACCAAGAATAGAATTGAAGATTGCTGAAATTAAGATTGGAAAATCTGCCTCTGACACTCCTTATCTTGCTTCAAATATTGTCAATGGAGGCTCTTTTGAGGCTCAGGGGGCTTTAGAGGATCTTGGAAGATACTTCTTTAAGAAGGAATTTTCTAATTTTGTATATGACATCGTACTTGTACTGACAGGACAGGAAATGTGTACATACAAGGGTAAGTTCTGTAACCCATCAACAGCTGGCTATGCATATGTAGGCGGTGCCTGCGTGGTCAACTCTAGGTTGAACAGGATAAACAGTGTTGGTATAGTTGAGGACTGTGGAGGATATTCTGGTGTTATTGTTGCAGCCCATGAGATTGCTCATCTGTTAGGAGCTCAACATGATGGACAACCAGCACCTGCCTATATAGGAGGTCCTGGAGCAAGCAGTTGCAGTTGGAAGGACGGATACATCATGTCAGATGACAGACGTACCAACAAAGGTCACACTTGGTCAACCTGTTCTAGGTCTCAGATGACGCATTATTTAAATACCCAATCTGCCAGCTGCTTGTATAACTCCCTGAAACAAGAAAAATATCCCCTCCAAGAATTATCTGGACTTGTTAGCAGAGCCTCAACAGCTGATGAACAGTGCATGAAAGAAAAAGGAACCCGATCTTGCTTCTCTGACAGCAGAATTTGTACACAGCTGTTTTGCGTTGATAATAAAACCGGTTCTTGTTTATCCTACCGACCTGCTCTAGAGGGGACAGCTTGTGATGGAAATGGATTCTGCTCAGATGGTATTTGTAAAAAATTTAAAAACTTGAGTCCATTTGTAACCGTCAAGAAATTGTGGATGGAACCCCGTATGGAAAATAAAATTGCCCCAACAGAACCTCATGTGGAAAAGCTAATAGTTCCATCAGAACCCAGGGTGGAAAAATTAACAGTTCCAACATCTTCAGTGTTTATTAACAGTATCAAGGATACTGAATCTGTCTGTAAGGACCAGGATGGAGCAGCAGGACATGGACTGAGCTGTCAACAGCTGTATAGAAGCTTTGCCTTTGCTTACTGCTCTAATATGAAGCTGAAAGAAAAGTGTTGTTCTTCTTACATAAAATATTGTTAACCAAACCAAATTAAAAACACATATTGTATTAAATCAAACTATTTAATTGTGAAATCAAAGTAACATGTAACTGTGTACCTGAAGTAATTTGTTCATTATTTGTTTTATATTGTTCCTTATCGTAGAATTAGCTGTTATTGTTATGAATATTGTGCATTTGTTTAACTAACCCAATATGATAAATAATTTATTCTAAAACAATGGTTAGTTTCTTTATATAAACTTTCTTTCAGAATCCAAATACATTGGTACAGTGTGTTAAATTATTAGATTAAGTTTAAATTAAAATTTAAAAATTCAATGTTAACCTTTTTTTCTAAAAATATTCATAAACTCCTTTTTATCATAAAACAAATCTTTATGATACTACTTTTATATTTTAATCATTTCAACTTGAATTCGAATAAAAAAATATTGTTTTCTGCTAATTTCGTTAATTTGAATGCATTATCCATTATTAAACATAAAGAACCGTTAATTCAGAAGTGAAAAACAAACTACAGTGATAACCAGAAAACTTTGGAACAGGGAGACAATTTTCAGACTCAATTAATGACTCTAAATAGTGCAATGAACTTGACACAACACAATAGTGCGGTGTAAAAAGGCCCAAATGACTTAAAAACTGATTTTTATATTTTGCTGGAAAAAACTATTTACTTTGTAACCGCATCAAATCCTATTTATTATTGCTTTAATATCGTCTTCCTATCCTACAGTTTTCTGGTTATCACTGTATTGATTAACGAACCTATGTTTTTCAGGGTTACCCAAAAAGGATGAGATACCTTTGAATGCAGTGATAACCATAAAATGATATTATATGAAGACGACATAATATCAATATTTTAGAGTATTAGAAAATGTAACAAAGCAAATAGTTTTTTAGGAATCTTATTAAATCTCTCATTTAGTGAAATTTGTCTGTTTACAACTATACAGTGCACGATTGCTGTGCCTCATGCCCATTGGACTTTCTATTTCAGAGTTTTCTGATTACCACTGTAAGACGATTTGCGAGATAATTGTGGATTTATGTATTTAAATACGGTTCTTAAAAACGTTTCTGTACAGTCGTCCCTTACGTCTCATCCTTTGTGGATTCCCCATGTATGTTACCTAAATATTACGTTAACAAACAGAGTAAAAAGTAAATATATGCCCAGTCCTAGTTGTAACTTTGTAGGTTCCCCATGTATGTTACCTAAATATTACGTTAACAAACAGAGTAAAAAGTAAATATATGCCCAGTCCTAGTTGTAACTTTGTAGGTTCCCCATGTATGTTACCTAAATATTACGTTAACAAACAGAGTAAAAAGTAAATATATGCCCAGTCCTGGTTGTAACTTTGTAGGTTCTCCATGTATGTTACCTAAATGTTACGTTAACAAACAGATTAAAAAGTTAATATATGCCCAGTCCTAGTTGTAACTTTGTAGGTTCCCCATGTATGTTACCTAAATATTACGTTAACAAACAGAGTAAAAAGTAAATATATGCCCATTCCTGGTTGTAACTTTGTAGGTTCTCCATGTATGTTACCTAAATGTTACGTTAACAAACAGATTAAAAAGTTAATATATGCCCAGTCCTAGTTGTAACTTTGAAGGTTCCCCATGTATGTTACCTAAATGTTACGTCAACAAACAGAGTAAAAAGTAAATATATGCACAGCCCTGGTTGTAACTTTGTAGGTTCCCCATGTATATTACCTAAATGTTACGTTAACAAACAGATTAAAAAGTAAATATATGCACAGTCCTAGTTGTAACTTTGTGGGTTCCCCATGTATGTTACCTAAATGTTACGTAAACAAACAGATTAAAAAGTAAATATATGCCCAGTCCTAGTTGTAACTTTGTAGGTTCCCCATGTATGTTTCCTAAATGTTACGTTAACTAACAGATTAAAAAGTAAATATATGCCCAGTCCTAGTTGAAACTTTGTAGGTTCCCCATGTATGTTACCTAAATGTTCCGTTAACAAACAGATTAAAAAGTAAATATATGCCCAGTCCTAGTTGTAACTTTGTAGGTTCCCCATGTATGTTACCTAAATGTTACGTTAACAAACAGAGTAAAAAGTAAATGTATGCCCAGCCCTAGTTGTAAACTAATTATGTATTGGTCAGAACCCTATTCAACCCTATATTGGAAGTATGGGGGGGGTAATGTTGTCGGGAGGGGGGGAGGGGGTCTCTGAAAAGGTTTTGTTTTTAACCGACTCTTGCTTGTGAAGGTAATATTGTAAAATAAATATATTTCTTATAAGCCAGAGTTTAATCAGCTTTCAGAGTGGAAACTTTTATTTAAACTTTGAAAATCTTAATCAAAGTTTTTATTTTGAAAAATATATAACAAATGAATTCTCGGAAAGGGTTGAAAGAAATAAAAAATTGTTGGAATCCACCAATTACCAACATATCTGTCAGATATATCCCAAAGAATTTTAGTAATTATAATTTGAAGCTAAGTAGGATGTATTTTAAAATATGTTCTTGCTTGTCTGTTGATATGTTTATATAATCAATTAACGTCTAAACGGCAGAACTGTTTAGGGCCTAAAATCTACATTTTTTTGGTAAGTCACAGAATCCTTGGGAAGGTTTTTATGGCTTGTCCAAGTAAAACATTTTTGCCCGGAGCCAAATGTCGAGGTATACGTTAAAGGGCAATATCAAAATTAAAAAATGTTTGCTTAGTAAAAAATGTAGCATTTTATAATTTTTTTAAATCCTTCTAATTGACAGAAAAATACCAGAAAATATTTGTTTATAAATGAGGTCGAGAAAATAGCAACATTAAAAAGCTAAAGTTTTTTCTCGAAAAATGCGTAAATGTTCTTACAAAGTTTTAGTTTTTTTCTTGATTTTATTTTGTGTATCATACAGGGTGTCCCGATAAACATGGGAATTCAGTGACGAATTCGATATCGTCTTTTTAAATAATTCTTTGATTTAGCATAGTAATACCTAAAAGAAAGCTGAAAGCCGAAAGATTTTCGTCTGTTATGTTTACAATTTGTTTGTTTATGTTTTGAACTTTTGACTGCATACGGTTATATTTAGTGAAACAAGAAAATTGCAGTATACAAACAGAGTAAACTTGTTCGTCTTCACTGTTTATCCTGCAGAGACATTGTGAGACACATCTTTACAGCCATTTACCGTTTTCATAAAATAAATTCTAGCAGACATAATAATATTATGGCTTTTGAAGTTAGGTATTAAAATGCTAATTCACAACAAAGACGATATCGAATTCGTTACTGAATTCCCATGCTTATATCAAATTAAGTTAAGCAAAAATGTGCAAAAGAAGTACGCAAAATATCATAAATTATACATTTTTGAAAAGCCCTTGCCACGGCGAATCCAAAATTGTAATATATTTGCTAAATTTTCATAATATATTTTCTAAATTTTCAAGGCTTTCCAAAGAGCAATAAAAATTCTAAATCCAATGACCAAAAGTGGGTCTAAACATAGATTTAGTTGAGTAAAGGTAAAATAAGGCATTTAGGCAGTATGCCTGAGGAGTCAGGCAGTTGGTATTAAAGCCCTGCTTTAAGTCCAAAGTGAGGGGCATCCCAGGTAACAATTTTGTGAAAAATCCGCAGAAATTCCCTGGATTTTTTCCTGGGAATTTTCACAGAAAAATCCGGTGAAAATGTTGTTACTTGGGTTGTGATAGTTAGAAAAGTAAAAAAATTTGAACAGCCTCAGACCAATACTTTTTGAGTTATCTCTCAAAAACGTTAGGGGGATCCCAGGGAACCCCCACCCCCAGCCGAAATAGGGTTAATGTGTGAAAATTTTCGGTTTGTTGTCACAGATGTCCTACAAAATTGCAACAGATATATGTAGAAAGTAGTATGCCTGTTAAAGGGAGTGTTCGCGAAAAATGAAAGGGGGGTATAGGCTTAATACGATAAAAAAGCGCTTTTGATCGCTGCTAATCTTACTTCTATCTTTTGCGTCTATAAGGAGAAAATTGATAAAGACGTTTCATACCGAAGAGCGTAGCGCCAAATGCCCATACAAATTGAGGAAGTTGGAACATACGCGACTTAGACCGTAAAACAATCAAATTAATATCAAACAAATCATTCAGATATATTACAACCTATAGTCATCGATTATCTTTCGCCACATTTGTATATATTTGATATTTCATACTAGTTTTGATTTTGTTTTTTAAAATAATATTTAGCTTCCAACTTGTTTTCGAACATTCCTGGAAAATATGAAAAGGTCGTCTTCATTACCAAAAATCCTCGAAACAGGAATAAACGTTTTTACAAGTAACTCTCAGATCATAACAATTAAAACATATTATGAAAAATCAACTATATATAAATGTGGCGAAAGATAATCGATGACTATAGGTTGTAATATCTGAATGATTTGTTTGAAATTAAATTGATTTTTTACGGTCTAAGTCGTATGTTGCAATTTTCTCAATTTGTATGGACGCCATGTTATTCAGTATGAGACATCTTTAACAATTTTCTCCTTATAGACGCAACAGATAGAAGTAAGATTAGTGGCGATCAAAAGCGCTTTTTTATCACATTAAGCCTATACCCCCTTTCATTTTTCGCGAACACTCCCTTTAAGGAAATTGTACTGAATGTCACTCACATTACATGCCCTGGTCAATATTAAATCTATTTATGTTTATATTTGATTTTGAAACACCTAATTCTTCCCAGCTCTGTCAGTTTATGTACTGAAAAATATTTAGTAAAACTAAACAATAGAATTTCAAAATGGCAGACAAGGAAGAAGACGAGGTAAAAGACAGGAATAAAAGTCGTCTTCGTTATGTATTGGACGGGTATGCAGAGAGTTCTACAGTGCATGGTCTCAATTACACTCTGGACACAGAACTTCCCATGCCAGGTGAGAAATCATAGAGTAATAAAACGAAGAGGGGAAGCTCAGCTCAGATGTACACAACCAACCTCCCTATTAATTAATTAATAGAGTGGTCGGTTGTGTACATCACGATATGTTTACATATCTAACACTGTACACTCGTATATAGAGTGACCGTATTTCTAAGGGGTGGTTTTATGTAGACATTTGAATATTACTATTGATAATTAGATAGACACTTAATGTGGATTTAAATAAAGAAAGAAAATCTAAAAATTGGTCAACTCCATAAAATCCTCCTTAGAAATACGATAACTCTATAAACAAGTGCACAGTTGTAGCGACGAAAGGAATAAGACCAAATGAATAAGACCAAATGAATAAGACCAAATAAACTGACTGAATATATATTTATCAAAAACAGTATTTATACTAGATGCAGTATATCATAATCTAATAATAACATGTGAAGTATGGAATATGCTGTGTACTGCATTCCAGGAATCCAGGGGCGCCACAGGGGTCCCCCAAGCATCGAGGTGATGAAGTTGATGAAGAGCTCGATGTTTATCTCAGACTTCTCTTCGAGGGTTCCGTCGAACTGGGAGAGGAGAAGGCTGTTGAGGTGAGAATCTAACTCTCTTCTTCATTCTCTGGGCTCTCTGGAGAGGTGCTGGAGAGGTTGGAGCCAACAGAGCTGGAGGTGACGGAGCCAGAGCCAACGGAGCCGGAGCCAACGGAGCCAGAGCCAACGGAGGTCTTCCACGTCAGGGAGGCAACTGTGGAACCAGAGGACAATCAGAAAGAACAGGTTTGAGCCGGTCCACGGAGACGGAGTCGGATTTAGAACCAATCTGGACTTGAAAATACTTTGGATACTTGGAAAGCACTAGATAAGGTCCTCTGTAAAGAAGGGCTGCAACACACTGGTGAAACTTGGTTAGAGAAGTCGCTTGATCGCAAACTGGGCCTCAGCCTGGAGGAACCACACCTCGGGGGAGTCCGTCCAGAAGGTGGGAAGCTTGATGGATACCATGGTGAGGGATAACTGACCATCAGGGGGTGTTGGTCGACATCGCTACTACGCTGAAAAAGAACACTCTATTTGCGGAACCTTACTTTGGTGTTTGAGTATGAAAAGAGCAGATGAATAAGACCAAATAAACTGACTGAATATATATTTATCAAAAACAGTATTTATACTAGATGCAGTATATCATAATAACAATAACATGTGAAGTATGGAATATGCTGTGTACTGCATTCCAGGTAGGGTTTCCATTCGCAAAACTTTTGCGCAATTTTTGCGGAACGAAACGCAAAATTTTTCTTTCTTTGCACATCAGGTTTGCACGAAAAAAAAACAATTTGCGCAATCATTCGCAAAAGTCATTTCGCGCAAAATTGCCTTATTCCGCTTTTGCGAAACTCAAGTTTTGCGCAATTCCGCAACTAGAGTTTTGCGCAATTCCGCAATTTCGTAAAAATCAAACGGTTGGTGATGGTGTGTGTTTATTATAATTCAATTCTGGAAGAATCTTGTTTTGGAATGTCTTCCTATTGGCCACTTTTACATAATTGACCAATGACGGTTAAAAAGAGTTCAAATCTCACAATTTTCTCGACAATTTTAGTTTTGGACATGCATATTTCCTAAAAGTGGATTCTTCAGGTATTGGTTACTTTCTTGCATTATTTTATATGAGATTAAAAAGATTTTAGAAATTTGATCAAAAAAATTTAAGAATATAATTCATACTTGATTAGGCAAAGCTTTTAAGGGTCACTTGAAATTATTTAATAGGATTAAAATATTGCCAAGTTTCACACTCTCTAATTTCTATTTTATTAATTTTGGTCCCTTAATTTAAACTTTTGTAACTGGAAGTAACCAATTGAGTGTAGTATAATCGTTATCCTACTCGTATGTTTATATTTTTCATGTATGGAATAAATATTCAGTTGTTAAATTCTAAGCTTAGAATATCAATTTTTGACAATTTGCCTAAAAATTTACATTTTGCGTAAAACTTGCGGTTTTGCGCAAATTGCGCAAAAAAATTAAGCAAAACTAAAATTTCGTTTCATGCGCAACTTTAACAAAAAATATTTCCGGTTTTGCGCAAAATGCGCAAAAAAATAGCGCAAAACTCATTGCGTTTCATGCGCAAAAATAGCGCTAAAGTTCGCAAAAAAAAAATTTGCGCGAAAATAGCGCAAATTTTGCGCAAAAAAATTATCCATTTCGTGGAAACCCTAATTCCAGGAATCCAGGGGCGCCACACAGTGTTATATATGTAAACATATCGTGATGTACACAACCGACCACTCTATTAACTAATTAATAGGGAGGTCGGTTGTGTACATCTTAGGTAAGCTTTACCTCTTCGTTTTATTACTCTATGTGAGAAATCCCTGAATACAAATTCTCTAAAATTTAAAATTTCAAAACAAAATAAGCATATTGGCCAAAAAAAAACATGAAAATGTTCAAAGTTTAAAATATTTGTATGTTGGAAATTTTGAGCACTAAGTAGAACCAAGGTACCGACACCCTACCGCATTGAAGTACCTTATACCGACCTAAAGAAAGCGAGTGGTACAGTACACGCCACACGGACAGCACAGACTATTGTAACAGTGGGCGAGTTTTGTTGATCTTTTACGATCAGCAATTCAAGGATGTTTTGGATCGCTGAGATCATAGCTACCAAGGGGAATCATGCCCCCTTTCCCCCCCCCCCCCATCTTTAACCCTACGGTTGGACTTTAGAATCCTATTTTGAATACTAACGGATTTATTTGAGTTTGCATTTGGATTCTATAAATAACCCAAGCGACGCCGAATTTTCCGTTATCTTGAAGACCCAAGCGTTGGGGAGGGGGGCGGAACAACCCCGTGGTAGCTAGGGTTAAATGCGATCCTAGGATGGAGCGAAATCGAAGGGGGACAGACAGTTGTGATTCAGCTCCCTTGAATTAAGGTTCCCTTGAAGAATTCCCCTATCTGACGAAATCTATTTGATTAACAATATTTAATTTGTATAAGTGAGACGATGAAAATGAAAATGTAAAATGTCTCCTGTTTGATAGATCTGATTAGATTCACAATATCTCGTTTGTATTAGTATCGTTCGATTTAAAGTTTGTATCTTTTGTATATAAATATATTGTAAGAAAAACCGACGCGTTGAATATTTGAGAAACTCAGTGCATTGCTTTATTGATTTTTATTCATATACTATACTATGTCTATAGACGGTAAAACGAAACTGTACACCAAATAACTAAATAATTTGAACCAAGAGTACTTGCAAAATTGATTTTATCTCTAGACTACAAGTCGGAACTAGTGTGCATTAAAAATGATAACCCTTATCAACTCACTAAATAAGATTACTTTATTTACTTTATATTACTGAGTTTACATAAAACTGTCTCTGTGAAGACGACTTCTCTACTGAAGTTATAATTTTCGATAGTCTACTGCAAACACAGCAATTGTGCATTGGCATAGTAGATTGTTATTTATTACTGAGCTGAGAGGTACTTACACATACAAAGTTTATTATATAAATATTTTTTTTAAACGATGAATTTTGTTGAAAACCCGGACAGAAAATGATGTCATTTCACAAACTTCAGGATTTAAAAAACCAGATGCAAGTTAGAAACTTAACAATTGTACCTGAAACACTTTAAAAACTGAAGAGCATTCCTTTTAAACATTAGATTGATAACATTTGTTGAGTCTCTCGATATTTACTCCCTGAAACGGCCGAAAAACAAAGAAAATATACTTTTTTTTTTTTTTTTGACTTTTAAAGACGACCTGAAAAAAGTTTACAATTTTAGGAAACATCATAGTACAGTGATAACCAGAAAACTCCAAAATAGGAAGACGACTTTATAGCAATGCGTAAGCGTATTTGATGTTGTTATAAGGCAAATCGTTTTACTAGGCACTTATTAAATCACAAATCAAGTAAAATACGTCTGTTTACACTGCACAATTTCTGTTTCCCGTGCTCATTGGACTATCTAAAGTCAAAATTTGAGTTTAAAAGTTGCTTTCCTATTCCTAAGTTTTCTGGTTACCACTGTAACAAATTCAAGACTGCACATTCAGTACAATTACTGTTTACCACGTTAATTGGACTATTTAGGTCAAAAATGCGGAGAAATTTAGTCTAGAAGTCGGCTTCCTATTCTAGAGTTTCCTGGTAATCACTGTATTTTGCGAAAATTTCGCAAATTTTCGCGAAACAGATTGAAGCAAATTTCGCGAAAATTGTGAAATGTTTGCGAAACGATTTTTTTCAAGTAAGAACTTTTGTAGTGTAAATAGTGGGATTAATCATTCTGCAGATTTACGGATAAAATTAATTTCTATTTAGCTTTAATTGTGAGATCAAACCTCTAGTCTCAAATTTAAAAAGTGCCCGCATCGGATTTAAAGATCTGGTGTGTTTAATGTGTTTGAATTGTTTAGATCGATGTCTGCTAGGGACCATTACGTTGTTGTTCAGCCTGTGTGCAGGATATCTGGTGTACGGTTGTGTTGTACAATTTATAGATTCTACGGTGAGTGTTCGGGATATCTGGTATACAGTTATTTTGTACAATTTATAGATTCTACGGTAAGTGTTCGGGATATCTGGTGTAGGATTGTGTTGTACTATTTTAAGATTCAATGGTAAGTGTGCGGGATATCTGGTGTACAGTTGCGTTGTACAATTTATAGATTCTACGGTGAGTGTTCGGGATATCTGGTGTAGGATTGTGTTGTACTATTTTAAGATTCAATGGTAAGTGTGCGGGATATCTGGTGTACAGTTGTGTTGTACTATTTGTACTATATTCAAAGGTAAGTGTGCGGGATATCTGGTGTATGATTGTGTTGTACAATTTATAGATTCTTCGGTAAGTGTTTGGGATATCTGGTGTACGGTTGTGTTGTACTATTTTAAGATTCAATGGTAAGGTTGCGGGATATCTGGTGTTCAGTTGTGTTGTACAATTTATAGATTCTACGGTAAGTGTTCATGATATCTGGTGTACGGTTGCGTTGTAAAATTTATAGATTCTACGGTAAATGTTCATGATATCTGGCATACGGTTGTGTTGTACTATTTGTACTATATTCAAAGGTAAGTGTGCGGGATATCTGGTGTATGATTGTGTTGTACAATTTATAGATTCTACGGTAAATGTTCATGATATCTGTTATACGGTTGTGTTGTACTATTTGTACTATATTCAAAGGTAAGTGTGCGGGATATCTGGTGTACGGTTGTGTTGTACAATTTATAGTTTCTACGGTAAGTGTGCAGGATATCTGGTGTATGGTTGTGTTGTACTATTTAAAGATTCAATGGTAAGTGTTCGGGATATCTGGTGTACAGTTGTGTTGTACAATTTATAGATTCTACGGTAAGTGTTCGGGATATCTGTTATACGGTTGTGTTGTACTATTTTAAGATTCAATAGTAAGTGTGCGGGATAGCTGATGTATGGTTGTGTTGTACAATTTATAGATTCAACGGTAAGTGTGCGGGATATCTAATGTACGGTTGTGTTGTACAATTTTAAGTTTCAACGGTAAGTGTGCTGGATACCTAATGTATGGTTGCGTTGTACAGTTTATAGATTCAAGGTTAAGTGTGCGGGATATCTGGTTAACTTCCAAATATAGAGGGGAGAAAGTACAATTCAAACATTTTTTTATTTCCAAAGAACGAAATGGTTTTGACTGAATACGTTTATATTTATATTTAGGTATTGATATCCCTTCAAAATACATCAGCTATAGTGGAAGATCTAAGTTTTCCTTCAGTAACTATCTGTACTGGCAATCTGAACATGGATGCTGTGACTGCCAACATGAACCGTCTTGTAAATATCTGGATTGAAGAACAGAAGAACAATGTGTCTTATACAGAGTCTTTGAATAGTTATTTTAAACGTAAGTTTAATATAACAGAAGACAGTGCTGTCTCTGCATTTGATGTATTGTTCTCCATGGCCAGCAAGAATATTACAACTGCAATTACGTTGAAATCTGTTTCTGATTTTGTAAATCAAAACTCAACATCAGTTAATCCAACAACAATATCAGTTGATGTAACAACAACAACATCAGTTAGTGCAACAACATCCGCTAATACAACAACAACAACTTTTCCTTCGTCAACAGTAATTTCAGCAATAATTACGTCAAGCCCTATCATTGCAACAACATTTGGCGCAACCACAACAACCAAGTTTTTATCCGTAACTACAAGAGCATTTGAATCAACAGCAATTTCTTTAAACTCAACAACAACAGAAAATACAGCAGCTTTGGATTTAACAACAAGTGGTCCAACCATTCCTTCAAATTTGACAACATCATTTTACTCAACACAGAATCCTACAACTTCAACAGTATCATCAACTCAGAATCCTACAGCATCAATTCTAGCTTCTACAACATCAACACAGCATCTTACAACATCAAGGCAAGATCCTACAACAACAACACAGAATCCTACAACATCTTCACAGGATCTTGGAACATCTACACAGGATCCTTCAACATCCAGACAGGATCCAACCACATCAACACAGGATCCTACAACATCAACACAGGATACTACAACATCAACACAGGATCCTACAACATCTACACAGAATCCTAAAACATCAACACAGGATCCTACAATATTTACACAGGATCCTACAACATCTACACAGAATCCTACAACATCGACACAGGATTCGGCAACATCAACATCAACAAAGGATCCTACAAAATCAACACAGAATCTTACAACATCAACACAAAATCCTACAACATCGACACAGGATCCTGCAACATCAACATCAACACAGGATCCTACAAAATCAACACAGGATCCTACAACATCTACACAGAATCCTACAACATCTACACAGAATCCTACAACATCGACACAGGATCCTGCAACATCAACATCAACACAGGATCCTACAAAATCAACACAAAATCCTACAACATCAACACAGGATCCAGCAACATCAACATCAACACAGGATCCTAAAACATCCACACACGATCAGAAAAAAACAACACAGGATCCTACAACATCAACACAGGATCCTACACCATCTACACAGGATCCTACCACATCAACACAGGATCCTACAACATCTACACAGGATCCTACACCATCTAAACAGGATCCTACCACATCAATACAGGATCCTTCAACTACAACATCTACACAGAATCCTACACCATCCACACAGGATCTTACCACATCAATACAGGATCCTACAACTACAACATCAACGCAGGATCCTACAACATCAACACAGGATGCTACAACATCAACACAGGATCCTAAAACATCTACACAAGATCCTACAACATCAACACAGGATCCTAAAACATCTACACAAGATCCTACAACATCAACACAGGATCCTACAACATCTACACAGGATCCTACAACATCTACACAGAATCCTACAACATCAACACAAGATCTTACAACATCAACACAGGATCCTACAACTTCAACACAGGATCCGACAAAATCAACACAGAATCCTACAACAGCAACACAGGATCCTACAAAATCAACACAGGAGCCTACAACATTAATACGGGATTCTACAACATCAACACAGAATCCTACAACATATACACAGTATCCTACAACAACATCATCCAAAACAACATCAACAACAACAGTATCAACCACATCTACACCAATAACAGAATCAACAACAGAAACTCTAGTTCTCGGCCGTCGGAAGAGAGAAGCTTTAGATGCGATCATTTCTTTTTTAACAGGTAGGGTAGGCCTGGGTTTGGTGGAATAGGGTGGGACAAGGTCTGTATATTAAAGGTAGGGTAGGCCCGGGTTTGGTGGGTTAGGTTAGGACAAGATATGTATATTAAAGGTAGGGTAGGGTTCGGTGTGTTAGGGTAACACACGGTCTGTATATTAAAGGTAGGGTAGGGTTCGGAGGGTTAGAGTGGGGCAATGCCTGTATATTAAAGGTAGGAGAAGCCAGGGTTTGGTGTTTTATAGTGGGACGATGTCTTAATGTTAAAGGTTTCGATGGGTTAGGATGGGTCAAGGTCTGTATATAAAAAGTAGGAGAGGCCAGGGTTTATTTAAGGAAGGCGAGGGTTAGGGGTGAAGGTAAGAGAATGGAGATTGCATGAATAGGGTAGGGTAGGTCGGGGTCTGGTAGGGTAGGGTAGGATAGTGTAGTCAAGTAGTGAAGAGAAGAGAGATGAAGGGTAGGGTAAGGTAGTCAAGTAGTATAGAGGAGAGAGATGAAGGGTAGGGTAGTCAAGTAGTGAAGAGGAGAGAGATGAAGGGTAGGGTAGTCAAGTAGTATAGAGGAGAGAGATGAAGGGTAGGGTAGTCAAGTAGTATACAGGAGAGAGATGAAGGGTAAGGTAGTCAAGTAGTATACAGGAGAGAGATGAAGGGTAAGGTAGGCAAGTAGTATACAGGAGAGAGATGAAGGGTAGGGTAGGGTAGTCAAGTAGTATATAGGAGAGAGATGAAGGGTAGGGTAGGGTAGTTAAGTAGTATAGAGGAGAGAGATAAAGTGTATGGTAGGGTAGGGTAATTAAGTAGTATAGAGCAGAGAGATAAAGTGTATGGTAGGGTAGGGTAGTTAAGTAATATAGAGGAGAGAGATAAAGGGTAGGGTAGACTGTAGAGTAGGGTAATAAGTAGTATAGAGGAGAGAGATAAAGTGTATGGTAGGGTAGGGTAGTTAAGTAGTATAGAGGAGAGAGATAAAGTGTATGATAGGGTAGGGTAGTTAAGTAGTATAGAGGAGAGAGATAAAGTGTATGGTAGGGTAGGGTAGTTAAGTAATATAGAGGAGAGAGATGAAGGGTAGGGTAGACTGTAGGGTAGTTAAGTAGTATAGAGGAGAGAGATAAAGTGTATGGTAGGGTAGGGTATTTAAGTAATATAGAGAAGAGAGATGAAGGGTAGAATAGGTTATAAAGGGATACAGAGAAATGTTAAAAATATACAATTTTTTACTTCAGAGTCTCTTCCTGGTCTTGGTACAGTCACACTCACACCATCAGAAAATACAGCAGGTACAACAACAACAACAACATTATCAACAGCAGAAACAGAAAAAACAGTAACAGCAACAACTGCAGCAGTGCAAGATGCAACAACAACTAGAGCAGCACAAGATCTAACAATTACAACTACAGCAGTGCAAGATATAACAGCATCTACAGCAGCATCAATGTTAGCAGCAACCTCAGAAGCTCAAGAAGCAACAACTGCAGCAGCAGCTACAACGACAACAGCTGAATCAACAACTGCAGGTCCATCGATTGAAACAACAACTGCAACAGCAGAAGAATCATCAACAACAACAGATTATACAACTACAACAGAATATACACCTACAACGGAACCATTTCAAATAAATCAAGGTATTTTTTAAAATTAAAGGGAGTGTTCACGAAAAATAAAAGGGGGTATAGGCTTAATGCGATAAAAAAGCGCTTTTGATCGCTAATAATCTTACTTCTATCTGTTGCGTCTATAAGGAGAAAATTGTTAAAGACGTCTCATACCGAATAACTTAGCGGCCATACAAATTGAAAAAATTGCAACATACTACTTAGACTGTAAAAAAATCAATTTAATTTCAAACAAATCATTCAGATATTACAACCTATAGTCATCGATTATCTTTCGCCACATTTGTATATAGTTAGGAAAACGGTTGTAATGTTGTTGTTAGGGTGACCCAACGGCTTTTTTAGGAAATACGTTGGTAATGTTGTTGTTAGGGTGACCAAACGGATAGGTTAGTAAATCGGTGGTAATGTTGATGTTAGGGTGACCCAACAGCTTTGTTAGGAAAAACGGTTGTAATGTTGTTGTTAGGGTGACCCATCGGCTTTTTTAGGAAATACGTTGGTAATGTTGTTGTTAGGGTGACCAAACGGATAGGTTAGTAAATCGGTGGTAATGTTGATGTTAAGGTGGCCAAACGGCTCGGTTGGGAAATACGGTTTTAATGTTGTTAGAGTGACCCAGCGGCTTTGTTAAGAAAGGCGTTGTTAATTTTGTTAGATTAAAGACACCCTATTGCCGCTTTTTTATAAGGAAAGCTTATAATAATCAATCTTTAGAACATGCCAGTATTCTTGAAATGCTTCTTGACGGAAAAAAACACGGTCAAAACGTTGAATCTTTGAGAGAAACTGAAGAGACCGATCTTATTGAATACTTCAATTCACAGGTATCCCTTTCCTTAAATCAATTGAATCTCTACCTCAAACTCAAATTCTAAAATTCATATATTTTTGCAACCTCATTATGTAAACCTTTGATAGTTTAAACTTAAACTTTTTGATCTAACAGAATTCATAGTTTGAAATATCTAAGGTCTACATTGGGTTGCACAATCGGGGTTCAAAATTAGAGTTATTTGGATTGTATGTATTTTTGTTCTTTTGTTTAAAAAAAAAATGTCCAAACGGCCCAAATTAAAAATTCTTGTTTAAAAAATGTCGATTTTGTAAATCCAAGAATGAAAGGAGAAAAATCTGCGAAAATATTTTCCTCTCTCGGCAGGGAAAAATGGTTTCAGTGAAAGTAACATTACTAAAAAGAATACATATAAAAATTCAATTTTTTCTGAAATTTAGTTTTAAAACATAAAATGATAAAATACATCACACAAAGTAAAGATGTTATACATAAAGTTTAAAACTTTACTTTAACAAGTTTAAAACTTTAAAGACCTGAAGTCTATTCGAAAAAGAATTTAACTTTTTATTCATGTAGTTCTTTCTATAGTTTCCATGAAATGTGAATAAAATTAGATATTTCTAGAACTTTATAAAGATTTTTTTCATCTCAAAAAACATCAATTATATTTTAATAAACATCGAAAATAATTTTTTTACAATTTTCAGAATTTTCAATATAAAATTTTGCCTTTTAAACAATAAAAGGATAAGCATATAGCAATTTAACTATATTTATATATATAGAGCAAAGGCTGTTGATGAGTATCGGATCAATCTAAGCATTGATATTCTTGGTCAAGTCAATCTTATATATTTGGTTTTAAACTTGAAGGGTGTGTTCAGTTGAAAAATGATTCCTATCATGATTCCTCCTCCTATACAAGAGCTTTTTAGATGAAAAAATAATTGGTAACCAAATAGATTTGCTTTTCTAAAACTTGAGGGTAAAATCATAATTTGAAGAGCTACAAGGTCACAAAGTTGCACCAGAAATGGCCTTCTCCCTTTGTCTACATGAGTGTTGGATGGATGATATAAAATGCACACATAAATTCAGCCTGCTTATAAACAGTCTCGTCAGTTTAGAATGCAGGGTCGACTTGGTTGGAAGTGTGGCAACACCTTGGGCTTTGATTTTACCGCTCTAACTCACTTTTGTTTTTGTGTAGCCCTTTACATGTTCATTTTAGCACGCTCTGACAATTATTATTAGCTTTGGTTTTTATGAAGCAATTGACAAAATTTTAGTTGATATATGGTTGAGATTTTGCAAAAATTAAACTACTGTAAATAACCATTAACTGAATCATAGCATGCAGAAGTAACCATAAATTCATCTTGATCGTCTTCTTTTGCAAAAAAAAACTTATTAAAACTTTCAAATATTTTCAAAATATGAAATCTTCATTTCTTAATTAAAAAAATTTTTTTAAAAATTTACCAAAGTTAGTTTTAGTTCAACCTTTACCCCTTTTTTAGTTTTTGAGAATATTCCCTTTTTTAATTTTTGAGAATATTCCTTTTTTTAGTTTTTGAGAATATTCCCTTTTTTAATTTTTGAGAATATTCCCTTTTTTAGTTTTGAGAATATTCCCTTTTTTAATTTTTGAGAATATTCCCAGGGGGTGTCATGCTTGTAGATGGTTGTCTTTCTGTCTGTTTTGGTTTCTGTATATGTTTTTATCCAATAATCGACTGAACCGATCGGACAAAAGGTTTATGGAAGGTCAAAGTTTAAAACAAAATATTCATATCTCAAATTTTTTTTTCAATCCATATTTTATAAAACGTGTATGTAGACAGACTTTTTCGCGAATTTTTCTTTTTCCCAGTTTTTCAAATCAACTTTTTTTTTAAATCTTTAATTATTTTCAATCGTTCTCTTTATTTGTGTAAATTATCATCTTTATAATCTTAAATGCCCTTTATAATCTTAAATCGGTAAAATCTTAAATCTGTATAATCTTAAATCTATATAATCTTAAATCTTTATAATCTTAAATCTGTATAATCTTAAATCTGTATAATCTTAAATCTGTATAATCTTAAATCTGTATAATCTTAAATCTGTATAATCTTAAATGCCCTTTATAATCTTAAATCTGTATAATCTTAAATGCACTTTTTAATCTTTTTGTATAATCTTAAATTCTGGAATAAAAATATATATTTCCTATGATATATGTATCAGAATGTAATTTTGAACTAGATTTATTTGAAAAATCTAAAATATTTCTAAACTTCATATTTTGCTTCCCTTCATTTCCCTTTCAGTCTCATGTTCAAAGAATTCATTATATCCGGGGAATTGAACTGAATAAAATGTCGATCTTAATTTTAGTATACACTAGAAATACAGGGGTGTATATTTTTTGTGGGAAAAAATTATTTATTAAGATATGGAGGAAATATGAAAAAATATTATTTATTTAGTTATGAAAAATTGGACTCGAAATTTAAATACTTTCATCCTTTTTCATACTTTATATCCAAAAATTTATATATTTTCTTAAATTCAGCCATTGAAACACAAAAGTGAAAAATTGGACTTAAAATTTAAGTATTTTCATTCTTTTTCATACGTTATATCCAAAACTGTTTTTATTTTCTCAAATTCTTCAAATGAAAAAAATTATTTTCAAAAGGAAAATAAACACCCCTGTAATAATTTTTAACTTAATACAGGGGTATTATCCTCAAAGGATGAAATTTATGAGACCACTGTACAGAAATCAGGTTTCTTATCAAGCGTAAACAATTGTTACTCTATTTACATGTATATTTATCTAATAAGGCTCGCTTTACATTTATATGTTAGCTGTAGCTAGCCAAATTTTTTCGAAAGTGTTTTTAAAATTCAACGGGCAACGCTGGGCAATTCAGCAAGTGTATACTGAGTAGTAATCTCTGTTTATTTTTCTGTTTGTTTTTCCGATCATAACTCATGAACCCCGGGACCGATATATGCCTCATATTTGATTGGAGTACTTGCTAGAACCACGGGAATGATTTTAATCTGGTTTAAGAATTCTAATTTTAATGGGTTAATGCCAAATTCACCTTCAAAATATCAAAGAGTTTAAGATTTTTTGGTCTTGATTAAAGTTTCATCCTTTGTGGGTAACCCTGTACATTTAATAATATGCTTTTTCAGGTAATCATTTTCGTTTTTTAAATGTTTTCAATAGTTTGAAACTTTGAAATTTGTGGAAATCTAAAAATGTCTTTCAAATTAATTTTTTGAAGGTAAAGTTTAGTAAATTTTGACCGGGCGGAGACAAAATCATTCTGTTAAGACTTAAAAAATTTCAGATTCTGATTTGTTTTCGTTTATTAGATTAATAAAAACAAACTTTGCAACTTTTAGGCTGTTGCCGAGACATTTGCTGAAATGTTTAAGATTCTCTGGTTCTCAAGCCTACCCTGTTTTCGTACAGAAAATATTACTCAGGGGTATCTACTTAAATCCTGCACATATCAAGGTAATCCAGGGTATCTTCTCAAATCCTGCACATATCAAGGTAATCCATGGGGTATCTACTCAAATCTTGAACATATCAAGGTAAAGGAATCTACCTTTTTTCTATTATCTACCCTAAGTATTGAAGGGGATTGTCGGAAAATGTTCCGAAAAGTTGCTACGGATTCCGGGTTCTCTTAAATCTAATCTAGGTATTGAAGGAGATTGTCGGAAAATGTTCTGAAAAGTTGCTACGGATTCCGGGTTCTCTTAAATCTAATCTAGGTATTGAAGGGGATTGTCGGAAAATGTTCCGAAAAGTTGCTACGGATTCCGGATTCTGCTGTGCTTTTAATAATCATCAACAGCTCCAGGACAGTTTTATTTTTAATCATATTTATATTTATATCCAGGGTGTCCCAAAAAACATGGGAATTCATTGACGAATTCGATATCGTCATTGTTATGAATTAGCATTGCAATACCTGATTTCAAAAGCCATAAAATTGTTATGTTTGCTAGAGTTTATTTTATGAAAAGTGTGAAAGACTGTAAAAATGTGTCTATAATGTCTGATGAACAGTGAAGATGGACAAGTTTACTCTGATTGCATACTGCAATTTTCTTGTTTTACTAAGTACAACTGTATGCAGTCAAAACATAAACAAAGAAATTGTAAACGTAGCAGACGAAACTCTTACAGATTACAACTTTCTCAGTAGGTATCACTATATTAAAATAAAGAATTATTTAAAAATACGATCGAATTCGTCACTGAATTCCCACGTTTATTGGAACACCCTGTGTAATCTCGGGTAATTGGAAAGCATTTAAACAGAAGACCACATTTTGGAGATTCCGTGACTGGAGTTTTTTAATGATAACATTTTCAAGAATCGTATTTGTAAAATTGGGCTAACAATTAAATAAATACCTCAAATCATTTTTTGAAAATTATAAAAATTTATAAACTTTTTAAAATCTTGTGAGTTAGTTTTTTGTCCGGGTTAACAGATTTCAAGGATAATTTGTTTTATATTTTGATCTCGGTTTCAGCTCCATGTTGAAAGAGAGTCATTAATAATTACGTCGACATTCCCTTTAAAGGGACTGTCAATCACATTTTAACTGACCCTCCATTAAAATGCCCGATTTACAACCGTACCCTGAAAACCTTTATCTGATCAATATTCGGGAAGATATCGTCGTTTTCCCAACTTGAATTTTGGTAATTTCCCTCCTCTGGAGCTCCAGCAGAGAAACCACTATTAAAACTAATCAGTTTTCTAGAAGAGAACTGCAGACAAAGCTTTTATTTGTACCGTTGTGAATCAGACATTCCAATCTGTGAATGAAAAGTTCCTGAAAATTAGTATTTTTTAGCAAAACAGATTTCATCAGCTCAACAATAAAGTTTTGATAAAGTAATAATGCTAAATTAATCTTGTAATTCTATTTATTTATTTTAACAATTACTTAAACTGAATTTAGTCACGCAACCATGTTGCTGGCATAATATAATATCATGACTCGCAAAAACATTATTCACAGAATTCAAATTTTGTTAAACCAAGTATTTTCTTAGAATTTAACAATTGTTTACGGGGGTAAGCGATTAAATCAACACAATGAAGACGACTTTTTTATTTAAGTTTTGATAATTACTTACTATTAATTTAAAGCTTTTTAATTGAAAAATTCTCTTGACTTCTATGTGTATGTGAATACATGCTGTTTAGCAGCTTGATTTAAATCAAATCTGAAACAAAAAGTCGTCTTCTTGTATTGATATATTCGCCTACCACTGTACTTTAATGGAATTCTCGAATAGAAGAGAACAACTCAGAAGAAATTCTTTTTAAAAACCATGAAAAGCACTTTTGTGTATTCTTAAAATTGACAACTTGCAGAGCAAAGAGTCATTCACTTGTCATTGCGCTCATCACACTTTAAAATCGAGATTCACATTGGATATTACCTAAAAGTCTTCTCAGAAAAAAAAGTTTTAAATTAAAAGCATGAAAGGGATTGTTTATGTATTTTAAAGTGTCCATTTATTTCTCAAGTGAGCAATGTTCATATTTAATAATTTTCCAATTTGTTTCTTTGGTTCGAATCAAAAATGTTGGGACTAATGATGGGCATCTTTTTGAGGCTTGTTTTTAAAACATTCAAAGTTTTATTATGATTAAAGATATTAAACAAAACGATTTTTCAAAACGATAAAGAATCGTTTTCCGTTTTTAAAAATCTTTAATCTGAGCTGGAAACTATAGAATGGTGGATATCAGGATTAATGCTTAATCATCTCTTTTTGCTAATCTCGAGACTAACATAATCTCGAGATTATGTTAGTTTTGAGATTAAATATTTAGATCAACAAATTTAATTCTAGGAACACCAGATTTATTCGTTTCCTTGACTGGAAGGGCCTTCACTTAAAATCTCACCCATTTATTTTTTTAATATTTACATTAGTTAAATTAGTTTTAAAAATCTCTAACGTATTAATACAAATTTTTCTTCACCAATTAATTTACAAAATGGCCAACAACAAATTCTTTATTTGTTAGAAATTACAGTGGTCTCTTATTGGATAGAATTTATTTTCACAACTGTCATTGGTCCATACAATTTACAAACTATATTCCTGCACTCTCATCCAAAGAGAGAGAAAAAGAGTGGATTAAGGGCTAAACTTAAAAGTTTCCACAGTGGATATTCGGATTAAGCAGTCGGGATTAAAATTTATCCATTCTAAAGTTCCCAGCTCAGAGAAAAGTTTTTCTTTTTTGATAAAAGCAAGTCTAGAATACAATTTTGAAATATAATTTGCATCGGTTAAAGTTGGGACCCCATTTTAGGACGACATTTTCCTTATTTTTGCTAACATATTAATGTTTTTGTCAGACAATTTAAAAATGTTATATTTCAGACAGACAATTTGAAAAAAAAATAAAACTTAAATTGTTAAACAGGATTCTGAATACAAGACATTAATGCAGACAATGACGCAGGTAGCAAGAAGATAATTAAAAGAATCTAAGAAATATGAAGTAAAAGACATTTCTTGTGGATATAGGACATTACAGCAATCTTTTTTTTTATTCTATGTTGTTACAAAGCAAATAGTTTTATTTTTTGTGAAATGTAGACTGTGCAATTGCTGTGTTTCATTTCAACAACAGGGTGTCCCACGAAACATGACAGTTGGTGAATGGCTTTAAATGTCTTCCTCCGTATATTAAATTAGAAATTAAAGACTTTTTGCAGTTTATTTTGTTAACAAAATCTTTTACTCAAATATATTTTTATTTAAAACCTATTTTACTATAACATTACTGCTTTATAATATTTCTTACTATTCTCTTTTGTAATAAAGAACTTAACTAATTATGGAAGAAGACATTTAAAACTATTCACCAACTGTCATGTTTCGTCGGACACCCTGTTGTGAAAACATTACTTGAGTCGAAAAGTTATAGATTCCTATTCCACAGTCTTCTGATTCTCGCTGTATGTTAAAACAAAATTGAAAGAAATAGCCAAGTCAATCACCATTACGATTATGTTTTTAACTCCGATTCTTTAAATCCTTTTTTGTAATCACTATATTAAATATATTTTGTAATCACTATAATAGATATATTTTGTAATCACTATATTAAGTATATTTTGTAATCACTATGTTAAATATATTTTGTAATCACTATAATAAATATATTTTGTAATCACTATAATAAATAGATTTTGTAATCAATATATTAAACATATTTTGTAATCACTATAATAAATATATTTTGTAATCACTATAATAAATATACTTTGTAATCACTATATTAAATATATTTTGTAATCAATATAATAAATATATTTTGTAATCACTATAATAAATATATTTTGTAATCTTAATTAAGAATGACATACATTTCTATTTCATTTCTGGCAATAGATGTTTTAATATATTTTCAGGAAGAAATTAATGCGACTACTAGTGAGGATACTGAATATAAGGTAGCAAAAAAGGGAGAAAATAATCAAAAGTAAAAATAAAATGAATAACCTCCACTTCTGAATATAATTCCTTCATGAATAGTAATCTCCACTCCTGATAATACTTCCTCCATGAGTAGCACCCTTCAGTCCTATATTGTACTTCCTCCATGAGTAGCAACCTTCACTCCTGATTATACTTCCTCCATGAGGAGCACCCTTCGCTCCTAATTAACTTCCTCCGTGGTAGCAACCTTCACTCCTGATTATACTTCCTCCATGAGTAGCAACCTTCACTCCAGATTATACTTCCTCCATGAATAACAAACTCCACTTCTGAAAATAATTCCTCCATGAGTAGCAACCTTCGCTTCTGATTATACTTCCTCCATGAGTAGCAACCTTCACTCCAGATTATACTTCCTCCATGAATCACAACATCCAATCCTAATTATACTTCCTTCACAACCTCCACTCCTGATTATACTTCCTCCATGAATAGAAATCTCCACTCCTCATTATACTTCCTCCATGAATAGAAATCTCCACTCCTCATTATACTTCCTCCATGTATAGCAACATTCATTCTTTATTATACTTCCTCCATTAATAACAACCTCAACTTCTGAATATAATTCCTCCATGAATAGTAATATCCACTCCTGATTATACTTCCTCTATGAATAGCTAACTCCACTCCTGAATTTAAATCCTCCATGAAATCTCCACTCCTGATAATTCTTCCTCCATGTGTAGCAACCTTCACTCCTGATTGTACTTCCTCCTGATAGCAAACTCCACTCCTGATTATACTTCCTCCTTGAGTAGCAATCTTCACTTCAGATTATATTTCCTCCTTGAGTAGCAATCTTCACTTCAGATTATACTTCCTCCTTGAGTAGCAATCTTCACTTCAGATTATATTTCCTCCTTGAGTAGCAATCTTCACTTCAGATTATACTTCCTCCATGAATGGCCTCCTCCACTCCTGATTATACTTTCTCCATGAATTGTTTTGTTAACAGGCTTTTAGGTTATGAGTTGTATGCAGTATAAGATGGAAAACCATCTCTCAGCAACTATTTGGGTTTAGCTGTAGTGGGAGGGGAATGGGGTTAAGGAGTGGCGGGGGGGTTGATGATGGGGGTTATAGTTAGATTAAGGTGGTACGGCGGTAGTAATAGGATTAGATGGAGGTGGGATTGGGTTAGACGGATGGGGGGGCAATAGTATTATAAGGAGGTGGGGAGGACTAATAGGTTTACATGGAGGGAAGGGATAGGTTTATATTGATCGCTAATAAGAGAATAAGATATAGAAATTTAAGTAGTTGAAAGTTATAAATATCTGATTCATGAACAAATAAAAATTGAATGTCAAAAAACGAGAAAATCTGGGAAAACGATTTTTCACTTTCACCCGAAGAAGTTGTTTTAATAAAATAATATTCAGTTCAGAAAAAAATACACCTTGAAATTACTGTTAAATACAGATATCTATATTGGCGCATTATTTATAAAAATTGCACATCATAAATACATCTTAACGAACAAAAGTCGACTTAAACTCGACATACCCAGAAGTTGACTTTACCTCGACTTTTAAAGTCAACTTCATCTTGTAAATAGTCGTATCGAACTCTACTTTCAGCTGAGATTTTATACCACTTTTAAACAAGTTGTTATACCACTTAAGGAAGAGTTTTCATTTGTTCAAGTCGAAAAAGTCGAATTTTTAAGTAAAAAATTTGACTTTTGAAGTCGAAAAAGTCGATTTTTGTAGTCGAAAAAAGTCGACTTTGAAGTCGAGAGAAATTGAACTTTTCATAAATTCATAAAATCTTAAGCAATTTTTTATGTTATTAGATTGAACCTGGCTTATCTCAAGGGCTGACAGTCATATTGGATAAACATTCTAACCTAGAAAGCTTAGGTTCTGTAGACAGGTAGAGTAAACTCCTTGCTGACGGTCATATTGGATAAACATTCTAACCTAGACAGCTTAGGTTCTATAGACAGGTAGAGTTTACTCCTTGCTGACGGTCATATTGGATAAACATTCTAACCTAGACAGCTTAGGTTCTATAGACAGGTAGAGTTTACTCCTTGCTGACGGTCATATTGGATAAACATTCTAACCTAGACAGCTTAGGTTCCATAGACAGGTAGAGAAAGTACAGTGGAGTCATTTTGAACATTTATTTAAATCACTTCATAACCTTAATTATTATATAAATATTTATTGGTTCTCAGCGATACAACGGAATCAGGCTTCGCACAGTGTCAATTATTTATATATATATATATATATTTTTTTCCACGGGCAACGCTGGGCTCTTCAGCTAGTTATATATATATCAGAAAGCCTATATGTGTTGGATAAGAAAAAATGCACATTTTAAAATTTTTTTACTTGTTAAATTTGGTATAAAGCGAAAACCATTAAAGGACATTTTAATATATTTAAATGATCAGCATACGCTTACATGGAGGAAAATTGTAAGCTAAGTAATTTAAATTTCTGAGAGCTGGAGATAAAATGTGAAAGATGCACATATATATTACAATACGTACATTCAACTTATATGTTTGAAAAATGGAGCCCCAAATGATAATCTTTACAAAAGTAAATGTCTAGAGAATTGTGCATATGCATTTCTGAAATTTTGCATTAAGTCTGTTTTTTTTTTTTGCAAAACCCAAGCATGCATAAATAATTAGTTTACTGGGAAAAATGATGTTGCCTGCAGAATATTAATTCTGCCAGCCTAGCTAGACACAATAGAACCAAAACCACAAATACTTTACACATTTCCCTAAAGGATTCAAGGGTTTTGGAGGAAATTTCCGTAACAGAAAACTACCGGAATTCCGTTTTCATATTTGCCGGTAATTATAATATCCACCGGAAAAATATATTTCCGCCGGAAACACTTTGCCGTAAATTTCTCCGGCAAAACCATGCGAAAATTTTCGTAAATTATTTCGCAATCTCTTTTGCGAAATTTCGCAAAAACCGTTCCTGCAACAACTACCTGCTCAAAAAAAACTTGTGGAACTCTCTGCTCTGATAACTCAGCAGTAGAAGTTTTATTATAACAAAAGTTATAATATTTCTCGCATTTTTCGCGAGCGAACGAAATTCATAAAAAAAAAGAATTTTTGGCAAACAAAAAAAATGCGTAAAATTGCGAAATTTTCGCGAAAGTTCGTTGGAAACCCTGCTTTTAATTTATGTTTCTCTGTAAAAGGGATTTTCAAAATGTTTGCTACAAAATAAACGGAGAAAATTTTAAATGTGGTCAAAGCTTTGATTTTTTCAAATTAAAGAGAAGATTTCTTAATTGACATTTTATCTTTTGTTTCCGTGGTGCATCCATGCTGTTTAAAAGCTTTATGAAAATCTAAATTAAAATCAAAAGTGTCTTCCTTGATAAAACCGCTGTATTTAAATAGAATATTGGTAATCTAAAGTTTGAGTTAAACAAATTCATATAATTCAACTATACACTCTGATTGCATTGAATTAACCAAAGTTTAAGATTTAAGATATATGCTTATCTACAGTGGTACCTCCAAAACTCTGAAAAAATAAAGACGACATTCCAGAATTTAAGTTAAGATTAGAATACTACTGTGTTTTTGTTCATTATGACTCTCTGAAACCATATCTTGTGTGGTGTTTTCAATCTTCTTGGTTTTTTTTTTAACTAAAACAACTTCTCAGATTTCAAAACTGTTAGAAATAAATTGGAAATTTTTATGGTTCTCATGTAGTCTGTACCGAGGGAGGGAACCCCCCCGACGCCATGAGCCTCCACTATGCAGACAAGAGCCTCCCAGATTTGCTAGGCAGACCGAGCCTCCGCCATGCAGTTAGAGCCTCCGCTATACATTAAATGAGCCTCCGCTATACAGAATAGTTTCCTTAAAACTTATGATTTTTTGGGTTTTTTTCGACATAGTGGCATAAAAAGTAGTTTATCCAATATCAGAAGTATTAATGAATTATTATAAATAGTGACGAATTATGACTTGTAAAGTGGTTTATTAAACTTGAAAAAATGTTTACACAAAAAATTAAAACATTTAGAGAAAAAAATTCTGAAAGTAATTTTATTCGATATTTTATAATCTTTGATTAAAACGATACCTTTTCATGAAATTTGTATTAGATAAAGATAATCAAATATTTGACATTGACAAATAATCTGAATCTAAATTTTCAAAAAAAGGTTTTGCTTAAATCAAACATTAAAACAAAGTAAACCAAGTTCAATTCAGAAATGAATTTACAACTAGCCTCCAATTACCGCGTAAGAAATATTTTATTTTAAAGATAAATCTTAAAAACCACTTTATGAGTCAATGTAAGATCCAAATCATGACAATCATTGCACAACATTAATCTTAAGTAAAATTTTGTGCAACAATGCTGAAAAATGAAGAAAAAAATCTTTATTACATGTTATAACCAAGAATTATAAGGAAGCTCTGCTGTATATTGGAGCTCCTTTATATACTGCATCGTGGAGGCTCTTACTGCATGGTGGAGGCTCAGTCTACCAAGCAAATATGGGAGTCTCGTGTCTGCATGGTGGAGGCTCATGGCGTCCGGGGGTTCCCTCCCTCCTGTAGAAAGGAGAAAAAGTATTTTATGGAATTAAACCAAATTCTGTTCCAGGGATTGGGAAGGATTTCAAGTGTTTGTTGGAAGCCCTCATGAATTCCCCGAACTGAAAGGTAATTTTTAAACTGTTCAATAATTACAGGGACAGTACAAGGAATTTTAAATGATCCTCGGCAGAGTGGCATGTCCAATTCACAGCTATACCCTTTAAACTTTGTCTGATAACAGATTAATGAGCTGTCCTTATTTGTCTAGATGAAAATTGAATATTTTCAGTTATGGGTGTACTGCGCATTAATGCTTCAGACACGTTGAGGGAAGTTTACAGAATTCAACACTATTTTAGAAAGAAAAAAAATATTTTCCTTCATATTTTTTCAAAAAGTACAAAAAAGATAAATGCAAAAAATCAACATTTAATGGGTGAAAATGGGTTAGAAAGTTAAGACTCGCTGGACAAGGCACCGTTGTAAATAAAATAGGACCTACCACTATTTCGGACCTACAACTATTTCGGACTACCAATCGGACCTACCACTATTTAGTCTCCAAATTACGTTTCTTCGGCCTAAACCAAAATCAAAACAGTGTATGCGTAATGTTAAACAGCATATATATAGGATGAATCTACATTCTTTTCCTTTCTTCATTTTATCTTTTTATTTCCTATTTTAGAGAAAGTATGGAAATACAATATAGTTTTACATAAACTTGTCAAACTTTCGGTTATTTGACAATTTGACTCTAATGGGCTTCTTATATTTATAACAATGACTGTAAGAATTGGATATTCTTAATAAAACGATATCTTAATCTTAATATATCTTAATTTAACTATATCTTAATATCCACGTTGAACACTTTTGAAATCTGCTGAATCTGGTCTTTTTCCCTACTTTTGATATCCCTAAAATCCGACCATTTAAAATTCTCTCATTAAATGGCGCGCAAAATTTCAAATTTCACGGCTTCTGATTGGCTGTTCAGGATCCTTTATACGCCACTCTGATTGGTTGAATTTTATACACTTTTCTTAATACAAATTAAGTATAAAATTAATCTTGAGATTAAAAAGATGAGGAAATCAAGCAATGATCTCAATATTCACACTTATAAAGTTTTCAGCTCAGAAAATATCATTTCCTTTTTAATCTTAATCAAAATAGGGTAAGTGCGCGGGACTTTTTATCCAGCGACAAAAAAAAACATGGAAAAATCTAGATCAAAATTTTTTTGTTTTTGACAACTAATAATGAAAAATTGGTTTTGGGCTATTTTTAAAAACTTTAAATCACTATTTCTTAAAAATGCAAGAAATTTCAACGTGGTAGTGTAAAAAAAGAGACCCCCCCCCCCCTCCCTTCTAATCCTGGGTTTTATATATCTTCACTTTTGTAAGGCTTTTCTTTCAGAGCGTGGAGTAATGTTGGAGGGAGGTTCAGAACATTATTTAGAAGTTACTGCTACAAAAACAACAACTACAGATGACCTTAGGTGATAACAGAAATACAGTGGTCTCCACTATATATAAGATCAGAAATACAGTGGTCTACACAATATATAAGATCAGAAATACAGTGGTGTCCACAATATATAAGATCAGAAATACAGTGATCTTCACAATATATAAGATCAGAAATACAATGGTCTCCACAATATATAAGATCAGAAATACAGTGGTCTACACAATATATAAGATCAGAAATACAGTGATCTCCACAATATATAAGATCAGAAATACAGTGGTCTACACAATATATAAGATCAGAAATACAGTGGTCTCCACCATATATAAGATCAGAAATACAGTGGTCTCCACAATTTATAAGATCAGAAATACAGTGGTCTCCACAATATATAAGATCAGAAATACAGTGGTCTCCACAATATATAAGATCAGAAATACAGTGGTCTCCACAATATATAAGATCAGAAATACAGTGGTGTCCACAATATCTAAGATCAGAAATACAGTGGTCTACACAATATATAAGATCAGAAATGCAGTGGTCTACACAATATATAAGATCAGAAATATAGTGGTCTTCACAATATATCAAATTATATATTTATATTTATATATTTAGCTACAAAATATACATGTAAAAATGGATATTTATAATTAACATTAGTTGAAATTACAGTTTATGGCAGGGAGACGGAACTAGCCGAAACTGTATAAGATCAGAAATACAGTGGTTTACACAATATATAAGATCAGAAATACGATCTAAAAGCATTTACACTTTTTTGCTCCGTGTATTGCTGTAGAAAAGAAAACGATATTAACGTGTTAGCGTATTGGATGTTGTTACAAAGGAAAAGTTTGTTTGATAACTTTCTAAATCACTTAGAGAGCGAAATGGGTCTGTTTACATTGCATATTTTTTTATTTTACTATTAAAGCAATAACTTGTGGTTTAAAGTCGTCTTCCTATTCCGGAGTTTTCTGGTTGTCACTTTATATATTTTATACTCTCTTGTCTCTGGACTAATGTTATGTCTTGTCGGTAACCTTGTACAATGTACATATGTACATATGTAATTATGTACATATGTAATTATGTACATATGTAATTATGTACATATGTAATTATGTTGTTAGAAATAGAAGAACTGAACATCTTTGACATTTAAAGACATATCTTGGAATTCTAGTTTTCCAGATTGATACTATAATGACTTAATTGGGTGATTTATTCAAATTTTAAAATATTTTTAAATAAAATATTTACTTTTGTAAAAGATCCATTACTTCTGTTGCTCATTTATCCGGAGGCCTTTTTCTTGTTTTTAATGGAGATGTTCAAGAAACTCTGACTTTTTTTAAATACATCTTTGCAACCTGATGTCGTAGACCTTTGATGTTTCAAACTATAAAGTCTGTTAGATCAAATAGTCTATGTTTGATATATCAATGGTTTAAACCATCAGATTGCAAAGATATGGGGTTTAGAAAATTTGAGTTTGTAGCAAAAACTATTTTCACCGACCATGAATGTTCCTTGGGGAAGTTACCACAAAAAATATGACAGGCACAAAAGAAAAAATAGAATTCCATTTGTTCTTTTTTCTCCTAAACCTAAAATGTATTTCTCTGGAACAGTGAAGACAACTTGATAAAGACACATGATTGATTGAAAGCCTGAATATTCAACATTTTAGAATAAAATTTCCTTTCAAATTCTTTCTTTCATTTCTTTCTTCAAAAACAGTTTACAAAGGTCTGTACTCTGTAATATCATTTTGATTATGCGTTTGATTTCAGAAATATGTTATTATTATTATTATTATTATTATTATCATTTATCATAATCTAATTAATTAAAGATTGCCTTCCTATTCCATAGTTTTTACTGTACAAAAAAAACACATGAAAATTGAATGAAAAAGAGGCACTTATTTTGCAAAAAATTATATTGTGTTTTAAAAGGCAGAATTTTTCAAAAAATGAATTTCTTCTAGATTTATCATTTTATGGGGTTGATCGAAGAAAAGAGTTTTCAGATAGAGTTTATTGATTTACGATATTCTATACACTATTTTATACTCTTACATAACCTACCATATGTATTAAACCATGGGTTTACTATTTATAAACTCTTACATAACCTACCATATGTATTAAACCATGGGTTTACTATTTTATACTCTTACATAACCTACCATATGTATTAAACCATAGGTTTACTATTTATATACTCTTACATAACCTCCCATATGTATTAAACCATAGGTTTACTATTTTTATACTCTTACATAACCTACCATATATATGTATTAAACCATGGGTTTACTATTTATATACTCTTACATAACCTACCATCTATATTAAAGGGACTGTAAGCGTAGTTTCAAATGACCCTCTTTGCAGAAATGGCAATATGCCCGTTTCTCAACAGTAGCATTGAAACTAAATGCTCTCCTGTTGTAGAAATGCAAATTTGTAAAGAACTAATGATTGTAAATAATCTTTTTTAAAATACAGATCAAAAACCAATTCATACTTGATCAGACAGAAATATCAAAGTAACTATTATGAATCGGGAATTGCCATCTTTGCATGGAGAGTCACCTGAAATTACGCATATAGTCCATTTTAAACCGAGAAAGAAATAAAAAAAATCCGCTGTCAAATGAATCACAGTAAGGTGGAAAAAGGGTCCCCCGCGTAGGCTAATCAGTTCCATCCCGAAGAGAAAAAAGAGTATTTATGCCGAGCAGGGTTGATCAAATTCACATAATCCTAACACCCTGCAGACATTGTTATATTAATTTCATTATGATCGGGTAAAATTTAAGCCTCTGATAGAAAAATGTGTGAACTGTTTTTTTAAACCTGTTGTTACGATTTAATTTGATCGGACCCAAGAATGTAATGCAAGGAAAGTTAATTGCAGTTGCGTATACTCTGCGTACATATTGAAACCAGTTCTCTAAGGGCGGAATTTGTAAACAAGAATAGATGCATCAGTGTTCGTTTAGTATCCGAGGAGATTAAAAGCATTGAATTTTAATAATTTTGATAATTCACATAATAGTTTCCTATGACCAGAATATGTCATTGATTATTTATGTGAAAGATGGATCCCATATCAGGCTTCGACATCCCTCTTGTGTTTACATTACAGCCCAGTGACAGTACACTGCAGTACAAAAGATATGTACACCTCTGAAATAACTTTCCTTGCATTAAATCCTTGATCGGACCTAAGATATTAACCAGAATTTTCTTGTTTGATTTTGTTTGTTTATATAGGACTGAGTCAGCTGAGAAAAGGGTTTGTAAGTTTCAAGACGAAAATGGGGAGTTCTCCCTTTACAAAACTTATTCCAGGTAAAAGAAAAATTTAAATGAAATGGTTTGAAATGTTTAGAAATATGCAAATTCCTCAATTTAAATAAGAAATATTACAATTTTTTTTAAATTTAAGTTAGGGTAAAAAATTACTATATTTGTGTCAATCAAATTATTGTCAATAAGTTTGAACAAAGGCTGGACTTTCAAAGGAATCTTTCCCCTTCGCGAAGTTTTTTAATTTTTATTTTTTTTTAATAGAATCTTACCTGTGTTTTAATTGATAAGAAGAAGCAGATGAACTAGAAACGGAAGCTTGATCTACTTGACAACTTATTCTATTAATTAAATCCGACCTCTCCGTCTTTTTGAATCTTTGAATAAATAGGAATTTAGTCTAACTTTCAATCAACTAAACTCTCAAAATAGATTTTTTTCTTCGTAATTTAATAAAGTTATCCTATATTTTGGAAAGCAGCTTTCCAACAGGATTCAATTAAGCACGAAAAAATATATATTTAAGTTTCCATTTTACATTTTTAGAACTTACCCATAGGCCATAGGCCATACTTACACTTATACTGTAACATAAAGGAACTAAAAACCTTTACACAAACTCTGATTTCCTAATGTCTTTAAATCTGTGTAACCTAATGTCGTGAAGCTGTATTGAAAAACATGATCTTTGGCAAGGTAATAATGCAAGGAAAGTTAATTGCAGTTGCGTATACTCTGCGCGCATACTGAAACTAATTCTCTCTGGGCGGAATTTGTAAACAAGAACAGATGCATATCAGTGTTCGTTTATTATCCGAATAGGTTAAAAGCATTAAATAGTTTCCTATGGCCAGAATATTTCATTGATTTTTTATGTGAAATATGGATCCCATGTCAGGCTTCGACATCCGTCTTGTGTTTACATTACCGTCAGAGACAGCACACTGCAGTACATAAGATGTGTACACCTCTGAAATAATTTTCTTGCATTATAACCTTGATATGAAAGGTCCACAAAATCAGGCTGCAAATTAGAAATTGTCGTGAGTCGTTGGTTTCTTTTGTTAAATTCTAGCCATGAGCCTTATTTTCTTTTTTAGGACAAACTGTTTGTTTGAATGTGCAGTACAGGGTGTGTCTGTAGAAGTGGGTTGTGTACCCTGGAATCTACCTAAAAGTAAGTGAAGTGGAGAACAGTGCAGGGTGTATCTGTAGAAGTGGGCTGAGTACCAAAGAATTTACCTAAAAGTAAGTGTACTACAGTACAGGGTGTAACTGTAGAAGTGGGCTGTGTACCCTGGAATCTACCTAAAAGTAAGTGTACTGGAGTACAGTGCAGGGTGTATCTGTAGAAGTGGGCTGAGTACCCTGGAATATACCTAAAAGTAAATGTACTACAGTCAGGGTGTATCTGTAGAAAAGGATTGTGTACTCTGAAATATATCGAAAAGTAAGTGTACTGAAGTACAGGGTGTTGTAGAATTAGGCTGGGTACCCTGGAATCTACCTAAAAGTAAGTGTACTGAAGTACAGGGTGTATCTGTAGAAGTGTTAGAAATGGGCCAAGTGTTAGTTTTGGAACTATTATCCCCATTGTTGTTTTTTCTTATAAGTTTCTTCTTATAAGTTTCTTCCTTATTTTTGCCCAAATAAAGGTGAAATGGGTACCCCAGTGAATCTGGAAATCAACTCTTTAAATTATAGGTTATTTGAACTAACGGTGGTGTATTTTTCGACCTACGCAAATCAGCTATACTTCACTTCTGACCTACGACAAATCCGCTATTCTACACATCTGACCTACTAGCACGTGGTTTTACAGCTGCTAAATGGACTTGTGGCCGCAGCGCCCAGCCCCCTAGCCTGTCCTAGCCGCGGCGCTCGGCCCACTAGCCTGTCCTAGCCACAGCGCTCGGTCCAGAAATTGTATGAACCTAACCTAACGCTCGAATAATACAAAAATAAACATCAGGCGTAGGTCGGAAAGTTAGTAGGTCAGAAGTTCAGTAGGGAGGATGTTGCGTATAGACAATGTAACATTACCGAACTAACGTGTGCGTCATTACTTTTAAAAGATTGTTCCATGAATACATATGATGTCATATCACCATGTTTGAAATTGTGTTCAAAATATAAAATAATTTTTCAAATAAATTAAAACTTTGTAATTAGAAGCCTGCTTCAGAGTTAAAGTATGTTTGTTCTAATCCCCAGTTAATCCATATTTAACAGTTTTCAGCCCAACACAATTTTGTAAGCTTCCAATTTTACAAATCATCATTAATTATATTAATTTAAAATTTGCAAAATAGTACATTTATGCGATTGAAAATAAAAATTAACAATTAATTATAACATTCAATTTTAATTAATTAATAAACTACGGGTGGTAATGAAATTTCGATCGCGCTGATCGGCGACTTGGAAATCAACATGAAGGACACACGCACCTCTGACCCTTCAGTAAAAGTAAATTTAACCTAAAGTCTGACCGCTTCAACCTTGTTGCACCGGCTAGTCCTATTGAGTGTCTGTTTTATTTACACAATGTCCGGGCGATACAGCACAAACTAGGACCGGAAAGGTTGACCCGGCTCGGAAATTCAAATGTACTACGGCTGCCCGTGGACGGCAATTAATTCTCTGAGGTTCTTAGACAGGTACAGAAAAGTCGGTCGACTGAAAATTTCATTCCTCTTTATATGTTTATACACTAAAAATAATCAATAATAAGTTAACAACAATTAAATTATAATTATTACCATTTACAAATAGAACGAAATAATATCATGGTACATACCATACATACCGCTCAGGAGTACAAATATGTCCTTATGTACTGATATTCAGTAGAGGCTGAGATATTTTCCTAATAGTTTGTGTAAAGTGCAGTACAGTAATCAAAACCGGAATATAATATAATTGACAATTAATTTATTAAAGGAAATATGGGCGTTCAATGTTTTAGAGCTAATTCATTAAACCATACTAGATCGGGATACAAAAGCTCGCGAAACAAATGAGAATAACTTTATTTAAAACCGAGTTTCATTTGAAATAACTTCTACAGTTCCTTTAATAATGTTTGTTCAGGTGACAGCGCTCGAGTTTGTGATCCCTGGGCCCAGGCTAACTTTACAAAACTCTTTGAAAACTTTGATTATGAGACATGTACAGCTTGTTTACCAGATTGTACAGAGGCAGAGTACACAACAGCAATATCATCAGCTAAATTCAGGTAGATGTACATAACCTGTACATGTACAATGTACAGTTCTGAGTTTACTGATGAACATACATACTGTATTCAGAAAATTAAAATTCAGAATATGATCCTTTGATATTAATCAGAGCAAAGCTGAAAAATTTAAGAATTGTGAATATTGAGATCAACGCTTAATTGTCTCCTCTTTTTTTAATCTCAAGAATAATTTAATCTTTAGTTTCAGTATCCAGTAAAGTGTATAATATTCACCCAATAGAGTAGCGTTATAGAATCCCGAACAGCCAATTAGAAGCCGGGAAATTTAAAATTGATTGAGGGAATTCTTACTGGTCGGAATTTGGTAGGGATATCGGAAAAAGGGAAGAAAAACAGGAAATGAAAAGTGTTCACATTAGATATTAAGATTAAGTGATCGGAATAAGAAATAAATGCACGAAATTTTAAATCAGCATTTCTTACAAAATGGGCATATAGTATAGCTTTGTTGACTTTAAAAGTCACTATATTAAAACAAAGAGATCTAAAATGGATATTTCTTAACACTTATTTTAAAAAACTAAAGTTTTGAAATATTTGCATAAGAAATGGTTAAAAATTGGTTAGGTTAGGAATGAACAAAGAAAACTATTGACGAACATCAGAGGGAACATCAGTGGTAACATCAGTGGTGACAGATTTGTAGAGCTTGCTGTTGGTGGTGCAGATCATCAATCTTGACAGCAGGTTTGCTCACAACTAGGCTTTAGACTAAGGGAGAGAGATCGCGGTCTTATCATGTGCAAAATAAGCGATAATGTTGTCGCTAGGTTGCATGATAATGTATGAACTCTGGGTCAGTCCTGAACTCTGGAACATTGTGGGGCTAGGTGTAAGCAGTGTCTGCTGTTAGCTCTGTATCTGAATCATCATCACGAAGGAGCCAGGGTTGAGACAGAGTTGTGAATGTCTTAAGTGTTTAAAGCTGACGAGGGGCCGGGAGGTGTAGAGGGGGTGGGGGGGGGGAGGGAACGGAAGAGCGAGGGTGACATGTGGGTGGAAAAGGATTCACACGTCTTAAAACAAACAACGGCATCAGAGTCAGTAAGTTTGTCTTCCTTATATTTCGAATTTGTGTTAGCAAGCATATATTATAGAGCTTAACTTGCATGTGAAAAAGAGCACCATTAATATAATTTTTTAATAAAACTTAATTTTTTTTAGTATAACCAACAAAAATAATTTTATACTTGGATGCTGTCTAATAAAAAAAATTTGGCCAAACAAATTTTTTAAAATTTTTTTATATTTTTTATTTACAAAGTTCATCATTGCATCAGAAGCCTAATTTCTATTTTGCTCTATTTGTTTATTCTAATACAAGTTTGCATTTGCATTAGGAACTTTTACACTGATATTCAATTTCATAGAATAACCAAAAACAAATAATTAGATTTTAAAGGGACTGTAAGCGTCATTTCAATTCAACCTCCATGAGAAAAAGGCAATGGCAACGGCAATTCACAACGGTACCCTGGAAACAGCTTAATCTTATCAATAGTGACATAAATCTTGTCGATTCTCTGGGTTTAAAGTGTTAAATTCTGATAGTTTCTTACTGTTTTCCTTCAGTAGAAATTCGCAAACTTTTGTTGATAACCCAAAATTGAAAATTATCAGTTTTTACAATTATAAACATTGTTTTCAAATTCCTGCTTTGTCAATAAAACCGGCCGAACAAAATTTTTCATTTGAAAATTTTTTTTTACAAAGTTTATCATTGCATTAGAAGCTTGGGTTCTAAGTTGATTAGTATATTTGCAACTCTGAACCTAGTGCTAAGTTGTTGCAAAATTAAGTTAAAGGGAGTTTCACTTTCTGCAAACTTTTGCACAGCCATGCATTGAGAACTAGAGTTTTGGCGGGGGGGAGGGGGGGTTAATAGCTTTAATCCCTATGTGTGGGGGGGGGGAGTCTAACACCCCTTTTTCTTGGTGTTTTCCTATAATATTTTAAATTTTTGGAAAGCTATTGGACTCTACTTTTAGACTCTGCAAAAAGAAAGAATCAATTTGCAAAATTCACATTTTTTTGTCAAGTATTAAAAATGGTAAAAATTTATCTCAACATTTAAACTTTTCTATAATTTTATCTTTGCAACCAATTAGTCTAAACCTTCAATGTCAAATCGTGTCAATTTGATCTAAAACAATTCATAGTTTGAAATCCAAAATTGTACAGTTTTGAGAACAATTTTAGGGTTAATCTCTCTCTCTCTCTCTCTCTTTTGAAGAATGTCAACATTAAAAGTTTAATGTTGAATGGGTTCAAGTTTTAACCTCAAACCAATCCCTGCATTTCCGGGTTTTACAACTTATTCTATACAATAGAACACTTTTAGTACTTAATAACTGTTAAATTATAAATTATAGGGTACATTCAGAATTCCGGTCAATTTTCTCTTAAAGGGACAGAAAGCGTAATTTTAAGAGACCTTCATGAAAAGCACCGCCTAATTTATGACAGTTCCCTTGATACATTACCTGATCATTGTGGAAGATAATGCTATAATTTGAAAACTATCAATTTTTGTTAATTTACATTTTTTAGAGAAATTAAAAGTAAAGAGTTTAACTAAACAAAATTATGCATATCTAATATACGATTTATCTGATATACGATTGATCATACAAAGCTTTTTATAGGGTACCACTGTATATCATGCAGTGTATGGAGGGTCACTTGAAATTACGATTACAGTCCATTTCACCACTGCTTGTCTGTGGGCCGAAATTTTTACGAAAATGGAAAGCCCTTAATATCCTTTATCTAAATTTTCTAATTAACATCGCTAAAATCGCTACTGTCTCCAGGTTTTAACGAAATCTTCGCAAAATATTAATAACAAATCCGCGAGTCTATCTTTAGTGTACAAATAGCAATTCAATCCGGTGTCATGCATGGAGCGGACTCCTGCATGGGAAGGACTCATCCTACAAGTTAACTATTGCAACACAATGTTAGACATAAAAAACAAGTTATGAGATTTTCCAATATTTTGATTGTATTGATTGTATTTTAATTGATATGTATGTTGATTGTATTGATTGTATTTTAATTGATATGTATGTTGATTGTAAAAACACAAAAAAAATAATCAAAGTCTCGAATAAATATTAACTGTTTAATGTTTTGAAAGGAAGACGACATTTGAGAGGAAATTATATTTTTTCCTTTTCCCCATTTTAAAAATTAATAACTAAATGTGTTTTAACATTGATTTTTATGTCTAACGTTGTGTTGAAATGGTTAGAACTTTAGGGGACGTTCACACCATGCCACTTCTCTAATTGGATGATGAGATAGATAGAAAGATAGATGATACTGCCATGCAATTTCGATTGGTTCAAAATAGACACCAAACACATGACATCTTCATGCGACAGTTCCTCTCTTGCACTAGTGTTTTAACCATTTTAACACAATTTTAGATGACAAAATAAATGTTTTGACACTTGCTGATTTTTAGTGTTTTTAGATTGAACAACATATTAATATTCATATTTCTCTCGAATATATATTGAGTGATTTATAATTTGAAAGAAAGTCAAAATTCGGGAGGAAGCCACATTTTTTGCGTTTTTCCAATTTAAGAACTAAATGCACATCTTTTTATTTACTTAAACTAATACATTAACATGTCTTAGCTTAGCATTACTTTTTATACCTAACATGTCTTGAAATGGTTAAAACTGTGAGGGAGATGAACTGATGTCGGACACCTGAGCCTGCGATTCAAAAGCTTTGGCTCGGGTCTTAAATACTTAAACCCGAGTTTAGGACTTCATTTTAGACCCAACTTAAGAAAAAGCTGACGACAACTTGTGTCACATGATCGACAGTTTGGCACTTTTAGTACACATCTTACGAATTTAGGCCCAATGAAAATAAAACCGACCTTGGTTGGTTTCAGTGGTGAATTAGGCTTCATGGTGAGTCTTATTCTAATCCAACGCTGGAATCCGCCAATTCCAAGCATTAAAATCCGCCAAATACAATATTAAACCTGTTTAATAAACCCAAATCTGCGGAAACAGTTTCAATTTTAACCCCAAAGGTCGAGTCGTTAATTAATAATTTAAGTTGATAGATTTGTGAAAAAAAAACATGCAAAGTATAGAACTTCATTTCTAAAAGTTAAATTCATTTTTATTTTTAGGCGATGTGATTCACGTAATTTTGACCTGAGTCCACTCTGCAGCTCATTTCCTAGCTCAGGGACGGTCATTTGGGCTGATCATGTAAATAATAGCTTCAACTCAGAGGAGTACACTCCTACTTACCTACTCCCACAGGTAGGACACCCATACCTACCTATCTTGAACAGGTAGTACTCCCCTACCTACCTACTCCCACAGGGAGTACTCTCCTACCTGCCTACTCCCACAGGGAATACTCTCCTACCTGCCTACTCCCACAGGGAATACTCCCCTACCTACATACTCCCACAGGTAGTACTTCCCTGCCTATCTACTCCCACAGGTAGTACTCCCCTACCTACCTATCTTGCACAGATAGAACTCCCTACCTTGATGTTTTTAAATATTTGCAATATAAAGAATAATTGCAATTTTTCATATCGGTTTACTCGCTTTTAAAATATTGAGAAAAATTTGAAAAATGTTAATTAAATAAAGCATAATACTTTAAATGCATGCATTAGCCATGGAAAACAAAATAATATGAATTCGATAAATTAATTCATTAATTATCACATTATTTTTATTATTATAACAATGTCAGATTACGTAATTTTTAGGGCAAACCTCAATGAGAGTTCTGTTTCATTAAATAAGCCTTGAATTTATAAGACAAAGTCCTAATATATTAATATCTTTTTATTATATATAAATATCTTTTATTATATACACTCTAAAAAATGCAATTTTGGTCTTTAGCATCAGGCAACAAAGTTCTTCTTTCATATTTCAAATTTCTTCTTTCATTACTCAAATTTTGATGAATATTTTCCAAATTTACAATCTAACAAAACTTGTTAATAGCTTACACATTGTTCTCTCAGCATGTGTCAAACTTTGTTATATGACATGTTTCTTTTGTCATGTTACAGTTTTCTTTCATTGTAATTAGCCGATATTTTAGTTTGTGTAAGATTAAACAAATTTTGATTTATGATCAATCAAACGTTGAACAATCTGCCGGGCTGGCACGGCTCGCACGGCTGGCTGGAGGGGGAGAATCAGCTGACTTTCCAAATCCAATTAGTGACAGTTTAGTCTGTTAGCCGACAGCGCTTGTACCTACGTCAATTCGATCTGGAAATTTGGAGATATCAAAAAGATTTAAAGGGAAACCTCCAAGAAACTGGAAGAACAAAATTAAAACTTTTTTAAGCCTTTGTACACTCTCTCAAACTAATGCTTGCATTTTCAATGCTTTGCTTGAAAGAGAGTATCAATGCAAAACCAAATCTTCCATAATTCAGACTGCAGAATCTACTTCTACAAGAATCAAATGTTGTCTAAATTGGTGATTAATTGATGTCCAGTTCTTTAAGCTTTGAATTGTAATAAAGTGTATTATAAACAGCAAAACTTATGCTGCACGTTACTTTAAAGATTTGTATTAAGATCTTATATTTCTGCCTCATGTATTTGTATTATAAAAAAAATGTGATAAACTTGAAACTAATGATGTTTAAATTTTTGTTTTTATCAATTGCATTTTTGCAGATTTATGCGTTTTAAAAACTAATAAATTGTATAAAAAAATTGAAATTTTACATAACAGCCGGATCTTTATGTAACAAACAATTTGAATCTAGTTAAAACAAATATTGAGAGAATAGGTGGCGCCACCTGTAACAACCTCTTTTGACGGGTCAAGATTCAAAGCTGAATAATCATATAACAAATGATTACATAGTTGCGCAGTAAGTTGAAGGGTCATCCAACAAATTTTGACGCATGCTAATTTTTAAACCGCGCAGTGTCGATGGTTGAATTGACATGAAACAAACTTTGTTAGATGATAATTATATGGAGGCGTGGCTCGGGCGGCACAGCGAGCGGGCAAACACCGGTTGATAGATCATCGAACAAACTTTGAATTAAGGGGACTGAAAATACATTTAACAAAATTTGACGAATGATTCTACTAAGGTGTATTTGAGTCCGGTGCTCTGACAAATTTTGTTAGATGAAAATTTGGAATTTCTTAGAGTGTATAAATATAAGAAATTATATTATATATGAAACATAATGTCGATACAATAAAAATTCAAATGATATATGCAGTGCAATGAAATTGCGACCTCAAATATATATATATTTCAATGCACTGCATGCATAGGCAAACTTCTGCCCTCAAGTACTCAACATTCGTGAACTATTTTTCTTGTATCCAAGGTTGATTTAATTAACAAAATTTAGAAATTTAAAATTGGATTGTTATGCTTTTGTATCTCTTTAATTAAATTATAACTTATTGCATGAACATTACATCTTCAATGAGAATTTTCTCCTGCACTGAATTATTTAACAATATTTGAGGATTTGATATTTCTAAGTTTAATTTAATATTAACAATACACCAGGTGCTGCTGAATCGGCATTTTCAAATTTTGTAATATTTTAAAGGTCAGAATATTAACATTTGCTCATTTCATGGAGCTCAACTTTATTCAAAGGGCGAATCTTTTAAATCTTTAATCTGTGGCTTAACCGCTGCCGGTTTAATCTCAAGCTAAACTCCTTTTTTATATTTATCTTTAGAGGAATTACAGTAAATCAGTTAAATTGAACTTTAATCCTCAATTTAAAAGTTCCCACTGCGGATATCTAGATGAGTTAACATTTTATTTCGACTAATGATAAACTTTTTTTTAAAAAACTCGCGAGGTCCCACAAAATTGAAAAAAGGGCCCGATCGTTTCAGCCGTTTTGACTTTTATTGGACACAAACTAACGGACACCCAGACACCCAAGCAAAGTACAAGTATATAAGGTATACATATATAATTACAATACAGGATATGTGGAGAGAGGAGAAGGAAAAAAACGACATAATGCATAATTTGCCACGGGCAGCCGGAGTACATTTGAATTTCCAAGCCGGGTCAACCTTTCCAGTCCCAGTTTGTACTGTACCTAGCTTTATGGACAGGGCTAGACGGTGCAACAAGGTTGACGGGGTCAGACTTAATGCTTCATATTGGTTAAATTTACTTTTACTAAACACTCTAAAAAATGCAATTTTGGTCTTTAGCATCAGGCATCAAAGTTCTTCTTTCATATTTCAAATTTCTTCTTTCATTACTCAAATTTAGTTAAATATTATCCAAAATTACAATCTAACAAAACTTGTTAATAGCTTACACATTGTTCTCTCAGCATGTGTCAAACTTTGTTATATGACATCTTTCTTTTGTCATGTTACAGTTTTCTTTCATTGTAATTAGCCGATATTTTAGTTTGTGTAAGATTAAACAAATTTTGATTTATGATCAATCAAACGTTGAACAATCTGCCGGGCTGGCACGGCTCGCACGGCTGGCTGGAGGGGGAGAATCAGCTGACTTTCCAAATCCAATTAGTGACAGTTTAGTCTGTTAGCCGACAGCGCTTGTACCTACGTCAATTCGATCTGGAAATTTGGAGATATCAAAAAGATTTAAAGGGAAACCTCCAAGAAACTGGAAGAACAAAATTAAAACTTTTTTAAGCCTTTGTACACTCTCTCAAACTAATGCTTGCATTTTCAATGCTTTGCTTGAAAGAGAGTATCAATGCAAAACCAAATCTTCCATAATTCAGACTGCAGAATCTACTTCTACAAGAATCAAATGTTGTCTAAATTGGTGATTAATTGATGTCCAGTTCTTTAAGCTTTGAATTGTAATAAAGTGTATTATAAACAGCAAAACTTATGCTGCACGTTACTTTAAAGATTTGTATTAAGATCTTATATTTCTGCCTCATGTATTTGTATTATAAAAAAAATGTGATAAACTTGAAACTAATGATGTTTAAATTTTTGTTTTTATCAATTGCATTTTTGCAGATTTATGCGTTTTAAAAACTAATAAATTGTATAAAAAAATTGAAATTTTACATAACAGCCGGATCTTTATGTAACAAACAATTTGAATCTAGTTAAAACAAATATTGAGAGAATAGGTGGCGCCACCTGTAACAACCTCTTTTGACGGCTCAAGATTCAAAGCTGAATAATCATATAACAAATGATTACATAGTTGCGCAGTAAGTTGAAGGGTCATCCAACAAATTTTGACGCATGCTAATTTTTAAACCGCGCAGTGTCGCTGGTTGAATCGACATGAAACAAACTTTGTGAGATGATAATTATATGGAGGCGCGGCACAGCGAGCGGACAAACACCGGTTGATAGATCATGTAACAAACTTTGAATTAAGGCGACTGAAAATACATTCAACAAAATTTGACGAATGATTCTACTAAGGTGTACTTGAGTCCGGTGCTCCAACAAATTTTGTTAGATGAAAATTTGAGATTTCTTAGAGTGAAGGTGCGTGTTGAATTTCACAGAAAAGGGAAGGATTGTGGAAGAGCAAAAAAATCAATCATTTACATAAATAACATTTCGAGTTGAAGCAAGAAAATTTTTATATTGTTCTAAAAAGATGTCTTCAGTGTACTTTAAAATCTATTAAAAGATTCTATTTCTTTGGGTTTAAAGCTTTCTTAAACCAAAGTTTCGACCTTAAAGCACATTTCTGTAGGATAATGGATATGCACTCAAGTTTTCTAATATTGCTTTAATATTTCTGGTAAGACATTGTGACCTCGTAGCTAATCTAGCGTTGATTAAACGAACAATTATGAGAAGAAACTTTTTAACCTGTTGGCTGTTACATATGAGAGGTTTAAACGTTTAAATAGTTTTCTTCTTCTCAATACGTATTACTTAGAGAAGTTAACTTATAATCTATACTTTAGTTTATCGTGTATGTAATCTATATTTTAGTTTGACGTGTATGTAATCTATACTTTAGTTTGGCGTGTATGTAATCTATACTTTAGTTTGACGTGTATATAATATATACTTTAGTTTGACGTGTATGTAGTCTGTACTTTAGTTTGGCGTGTATTTAATCTATACTTTAGTTTGACGTGTATGTAATCTATACTTTAGTTTGACGTGTATGTAATCTATACTTTAGTTTGACGTGTATGTAATCTATACTTTAGTTTGACGTGTATGTAATCTGTACTTTAGTTTGACGTGTATGTAATCTATACTTTAGTTTGTCGTGTATATAATCTGTACTTTAGTTTGACGTGTATGTAATCAA